TATCCCGCCTACTTTTAGCGTCTTTAGAATTTCCTTATGCTTTTTACTAAACTATATAGTTCTTTATATACTTTCATGTATATATTATCATCTGTAATATTTGTTTCTTTTTTCATATTTGGAATTTATAATCCTGAGAAGGAATCATCGACAAGTCTATTTGAATAAACCTTCCATACAGAAACTGGGAGTTACGATAAAATAAAAATTCAGCCCTTTACGTTAGGATTTATTCAGCTACTTCTAGCTTATTTCCATTGTTGATCTGTCTTTTTTGACACTCAAGAATTGACAGCACTGATGTCAATGGCGACAACAAGAACCGCAGCAACAGCAGCAACAACGCACGGAAAATCGTTGAAAATTATGTAAATTGTTTTTGTTAGGCCAGGAAAGGAGTGCGAAAATTTGCCTAAATGCTTTATAACCAACTCTGTGGCAGTATTTGGCTGGCATGAGACTTCCATTGGGGCCTTCAACTGTTGCACGCACATGACAGCGCTGTGACAGAAACATATGTTGCCACAATCAACAACGTCCTGTCGAGCAGTTAAGAATGCAACCCTTTGGCGCGAGGGAAGACACCCACCCTTTGAAGGCAAATTCAAAAAGTTACAAGACCTACAAAAAAATAAAATGCAACAAACAAACAATTCGAATGAATGGAGGAAACAGTAAAAGTTTCCTAAGTTCCCGTGACTTTTCAAAAAAAAAAAAAAAAAATAGTTCACGCTTACGAGTAAAAATAAATTCTTTTCAATAGCAACTATAGTCAAAGCTGATGCGGAATATAATTTAAATTACAATATTCGTTAAGCTGTCACATGAATTTTGTATATTAAATGGCTCCACTCGATCAGTACAGTCCTCATTATTTATATTCTTTTGAATCATAGCTACCAACGAGTTCTTGCTAAAGAGGTTTAAATACGTATACTATAGGATGTTGCACTGCCAATATCAGCTTATTTAATTTAAAATTTAATATTTCAAAAAATTGTTAACTCTTAAAACAACAATCTAGCTTTATATTAATTGACTCCACTCGATCAGTACAATCGCCATTATTTATACTCTTTTGAATCATAGCTACCAACGAGTTCTTGCTAAAGAGATTTAAATACGTATACTATAGGATGTTGCACTGCCAATATAAGCTTATTTAATTTAAAATTTAATTTTTCAAAAGAGATATTTAACTCTAAAAACAACAATCTAGCTTTTATCTCTGCACTACATATTTTGTTACTTCTAAACACAAAATATTGAACTTAACCGCCAAGTTAAATCGGTATGATATCTATCCCATTAAATGTTTCTTCTGCTTCTTCTTTTCTACCAGTTTTTCCCACCAGCTACCACTAAAGCAGGCCAACTCCCCGCTGCCTGGCTCACCCCCTGCCATGCGCACACACGTTCAGGGCAATAAAAGCGCAAACGTTTCAATTCCGTTGCGGCTGACAAATGCACAAAAATTGCCAACTTTCTGCCCCAAAAATATTATAATGATAAAAAAGAGAAAGGAAACAAGATAGCCGTAGCCAGATAAGAGGGCGATATGGACATGCCATCGAGTGTTTTGATTTGTAACGTTTCTCACTTCATTATTATGCAATAAATTGTAGTCCCATATAATGGGATGTTGTCTCATATTGCAGCACACGAGCGCAAAAAAACTATTCGGTTAGGGCGACATTGTTTGGAGGGGTTGGCAAAGAGAAATAGAGCATCGCGCTGAACATTGTTGGTGAAAGTTAATGAGCCCTGACATGAATAGCGTATATTTCTTGTCTAATTTTCGCCGGCTGATAGCTGTTTTTATGTATACCGTTTTCCTGCTTGGGATCTATGGTTTAATAGCCCTCTTAATCCAACGAATCCAACGAATAGAGTGCATATCTCAGTACTAAAACATATCATGAGCCATCTAATCGTATAGATGACGCTTTTAATGTCGCTTTATGCCCAACCATATATCATTATATAAATCTTACAACTTTTTATATTGTTATAATAATATTAGTTTCTTTCAATTCCTTGCTACAACACTAATTAGAAAAAAAATATAACATGTCTAACGAGTTGTTAAAAATAAATGATTGTAACAGGTTTGGAGTCGGTTGTCAAACCAACTGAAATGGAGCGATATTCAAACCAAACCGATCCGTATTCAGAAAGTTGTGTACATACGACAAAAATTATTGAAAGTTCAACTCTGAAATAAAATTTGGATTGCATTTACCACCGAAACTTTTTCGCTAGCTTTCTACTTTCTATTTAGTATTTTTAAAGCATTTTTCGAAAGCTAACGTAGCTTTTAAGTCGAAAGTTTTCAGCTGAAAAGTGTTGCCAACTAAATGTTTGAGTAACTTTTAAAAGTTTTTGAAAGCTACTTTGTTAATGAAAGCTCGCCTCTGCGCGCTTCAAAAGGCCGGGAAAATTGCTAAAAATTAGTTTGTCCTTTATAAATATTGAAACATTAATTTTGTAGTTTATTTGCAAATAAATAAAATTGTATTTTATATTTAATAATTTTCAAAAGCTTTTTCAACATGCCCCAGCAGCATGCCCTTCGGCGCTGTAAGCTTTCAAAACATAATTAGGCAACAAACCAACCCCTGCTCGAAAGCTTACGCCAAAAAGCTGCAACCCAAAAATCCACCCTTGTAAGTGGCTGGCTCTCTGAGCATAAAAGCTCTGGCGCTCGCCCTACATGCGCCAGCGTTGCGGCGCGCCACAGTATGTATGTGTGGGTGCGTGTGTGTGTGTGTATGTGTGTGCTGGCATGTAAGCTGCGCTCGCTCGCTCCGGCGAGAAAAGCACAAAGTACCCGTACGTGTATTGGTGTCTGTGTGTGACACACAGGAGTGTCAGCAGCATAAATTTCAGCATACAAATTTCACACACTGGCTACGCGTCGCTAGAAAGTTTCGGCGAGTTTTCGCAGAAAATCCATAAATGAAAAAACGCAGTGTAAATAAAAGCAAACAAAAATACCAAATTCCAAAGTTCCTCTAGTTTCTAAATTGTGTGTAAATAGCCGAAATTACAAAAGTAAGCGCGACTCTCGTAAACAACAACAACAAAATAATAATAATAATAATACTGAAAGGGAATGAAATGTTAAAACAACGGTAAATGCTGCACGGCATGTGCCTCTTCTCAGGCAGGGGCGTTCGTGGCAGCAACGACGGCGGCTTTTGTGGATGCGGATGAAGATGAAGAAAACTGTGTATGTGCCCAAGTGGTTGCGATGATAAATCAAACAAGTTTCCAACAAAAATCGGCGCAACAAAGCCAAAAGGCAAATGCCAATACACATGGTGCATAAAAAATAAAAATCATCAAAATCAAATAAAGCATAAATTATGCTTTTTGGCAGCACAAGTGGCCAGCAACAATAACAACAACAATAGCAACAGTAGCAGCAGCAGCACACACTCACACACTGAAGAAAAAACTATACAAGTGGATATATTTTGATTTTTTTTATAAATAGAAAAATCAATTTCGCACGCAGTGCGCCGCACACACACACACACACACACACACGCACACGTAGAAAGGGAGTGAAGAGCCGTTGCTCTCATTTCGACTCTCACTCTCTCCATCTCTCACTGCCTGACTGACTGACTAAATGACTCTCTTGCTCAGCATATTTGGCTGCGGCTGGCTAACAGTGTATGCGTGTGTGTGTTTGTGTGTGTGTGTGTGTGTGTGTGTGAGTGTGTGTTTGTGTGTGTCTATTAAAAGCAGCAACAGCACGCGCATGTGGAGGGAGCTTCGCTTTTTAGTGTACGCGGCTGCTGCCTGCTGCCTGCCGCCTGCCGCCTGTGCTATGTGAGAATAATTGAATATAATTCAAGTGTTTTTGTTGTATTATTTGTTGTGCTTATTATTATTGTTATTATTTGTTTAAATAAGCAAATCGAAAATAAAAGGCGAAGAAACAACACAAACAGTCGTTTCATGTGCGATGACAGCAGCTATAAAAACTGTGCGCGGAAAACTGCGTGGAAATTTGTTGAAATGCCATTAAACAAAAAATTATATTCCAATGTGTATATACATATGTACGTATGTATGTGTGTATGTATTTATTGAATGTGGCGCGCAACAGAAATAATAACAGCAACAACAACAACAAGAGCAGCAACAACAATACAGGACTGTTGCAGTCCAGGCCGAACCCATAAAAGGGTTTGTCTCTATGGCAATGGCAACTTTGGAGCTGTGAGGGGGCTACGAGGGGGCTGTGTGGGTGCAGCGCAGCGTACGTTCGTGTTTACAAATTGACGCTACAAATTGAATTTATAGCGCGTCCCGACCGCCAGCATAAGAAACAAGTGGTTGGGTGGTGCAGGAACGTGGAGAGGTGGTGGCGCAGGCCAAGGTAAAAATTTCCGCTACTTTTTAAAAACTTGTTCGCCTTCATATACATATGTACATACATATATGTATGTACATATGTGTGTGGAATGTTTGGCTTGAACTGGTCTAAAAAGTGGGTGGATGGGTTGGATGGGCTGGCTGGGTGGTGCCGGTGAAACGCAAGAGACCTCAATGACGGACACGGACATAGAGGCACGCAACGCAACGCATCGCATACCAAAGACGACGCTGCTGATGACGACGTCTACAAATAAAAAAAAAAATAATAAAAAGACGTACAAGTGGCTGGACGGGCGCGTACTATGATGCTCTTGTTGTTGTTGTTTGTGCCCTCGTCGCGTAAAAAATGATTTCGAAACTGACGCACAACAACAACAGCAATAATAAACAGTAGCAGCAGCAGCAGCAACAACAGTCACAACAACAACAAGCAGCAGAAATCTAATAAATTAAATTTACACACATAGTTAAATTAGTGAAAATTGAATAAAACACAAGAAGAAGAATATATATATATATACTATATAGTATAGATAGTAGAGCAGCCGCTGAGCGACAGAAAGACGACATGAAAAAAAACTAAAAGTAAATAACAACAACAAAAAGCAAATAAAGCAAAGTCAAAAAACACGCAGAACGTGTTGAACAACAAATTAAAAACTTTAACGCCGCCGCTGACGTCGCAGCTGAGACGACAGCAAAAGCAGCAGCAGCAGCAGCAGAGGGGCAGCGACAAAGGCAGAGATCGACAGCAACTGCGACTGCGACACATCCACAGACATAAAAGATGGGCTGTGGACAAAGTAAAATTCATCTATATCCAAGGAAATCGAAGAGTAAAGCAAATGGCAAGAAAGGAGGACATGGTAAGCAGTCGAGTGTGAGACTAGCAGTGTGAATGTGTGAGTGTGTGTGTGTACTTTCTCTCGCCTTATAACAAAAGCTTACACGCATGACGACATCAATTTGCCTGCCTGTCTGTGCAGTTATGTGTGCATTTATGTGTATATGTGTGTGTGTGTTTGTATGTGTGTATAAGCCACCTGTTTCCACAATGAGGACATCATTGATTAATATGCCAGCAACAAAAGCAGCTACAAAAGCGCACTATAAAGCGTTAGGCCGTTTTAAACTCACACACACACACACAGAAATGGTGGCACACACGCCTTTAATTATGCATGTGTACCTAAGTTTATATATACATAAAAATTTCTTTTTTTTTTAAACCCTAGCCTACATAAAAAGTTTTTCTGTTGAGCCTACCTCTCACCCACTTTTATTTCACACATAAATTTAGCGCATACATATGTTTGTGTGCGTGTAATTAACTGCTAAAAAGCAACTTGTTGTGCTGGCCAGGGGTGTGGCACAGGGTGTTACTGGGTTTGTGTGTATGTGTGTGTGTGTGTGTGACAAGTAGGCGCGAGCACTTTTGTCTCTAAGCCTGAGCTGAGCGTGCAAAAAAGGGTTAAAATGTATAGCATACACAAAGGCGCCGTTATGCCATAAAAACGACCCATTTTCATTGCTAAACTGGAGCTGTCGGCCTACCGTCCCTTGTCGGGATTTAATTATAAAGTTGTTCTTCTATATTTCTTACCAAATTAACATTTAATGTGGATAGCTATTTTAATTAAAATGCTTTTTATTTTATTTTTTTGGAGAACAACATCAAAGTCAGTCCCAAGTTTTAGTAAAAACAAACACACATTTAAAATGTACACACTGCGGTTAATATATATAAATACTTTGCATACTTTGTGCCCAAATAAACCCTTTTTTTTAATTTCCAAGTTTCCTTAACAAAAGATCCACATACAAGTATTTAGATGACGTTAACTTTGTCACACATTTTGGGCCGTTTATGCGGGCGCAAAAACAGAAAATTTTAGGAGGTTACAAAGATTCATTCGGAAAACTTGATTTCCACTTGAGCAATCAATTGCACACTTTTCTTTATTCGATGCAGTGATGCCTGTTTAGCATGCTTAGCACTATGAATCATTATATCTGGGGTATATTTGTATTCAAATTCAAAGCTCAGTTCATGAAATAGGCAAAGGAAAGCATTAATTTTATGCCATGATTCACATATCTTAGGAGCTGGCTTTGTCCCAGAGTCATGGTGTAAGCTGACGCAGCCTCCTTTATAAGGAGTAACGATGTCATACTGTTTCTTTTCAAAAGACTTGAAATTGAAAGTAATTTTAAAACAATAAGCATTATTTATGGTTTGAAACGTTGCCTGGCATAACAACTTCATAGAACAATATATTTATCCATGTCAATTAATGTGGAATATATACCTATTATTTTAATTTGAAACAGTTTGAAGCATACACTACTCTGTGATTGTTTTTTTTACGAATTATACATTAAAGAAAAATGCAATTACGACTTTAATTAGGCATTTAGTCTTATTTAAATTTTAAATATAAAATTTATATAAAACTATTGTTTTGATTGATTGGCATTTTTTGCATGCGTATGTTTAAATAAGGAATGGGCTTTCATTAAAATGATTTTTAAGTCTCCTGACCACTGGAAGCTTGAGCTCTTGATTAAATCACATAAATAAAGTTGATTGGTTTGTCTTAGATGCTAATTAAAATAAAGTTTTTGTCTGAACTGAACAAACCTTAGCAAATCAATGATTTAAAACTCGTTTCATCGACGGGTTTAGCAATATTAATCATACGCACTGTGGATCCAGTGCTCTCGAGCAATGGGCATTTCTGTTTGAGCCAATCTTTTCAAACTGTAAACGTTTCTTGTGAATTGTAGAATTTACACGAATGTCTACTTACAATGAAATATTAGTAGAAGGTATTTGTGAAGATTATTTCTATTCATAAAATTCCAATGGCTTAATAATTAATCGAAAGTTTTCCCCAAGCAGCAGTCTTTTATCGCTTTTCTTTTGCCGACTATCCACTTAAAGACAACTGCCTCGTTCTGAGATATATGCAAATAGAACTTTTATTTTGTGTGGATGTTTTTTGTGTGTGTGTGTGTGTGTGAGCATATGAGTGTGTGCTTGCGTCAATTTGTCTTACTCTGAGCACCCTTCTCAAGCTGGGAAACTTCGAAACTAAAGACATTCATCTTTCCTGCAGCCGATTCAGATGCCGAAACGGATGAGGACGAAGGCCACATTGAGGACGCTGAGAAGGCCCAACAACGGGAGCGGGAGAAGCACGACGAGAGCGAGGAACAAAGCAATAAAGAGATACAGGACAGTGAGGAGGATGTTGCCGTGTCGTTGTTGCGTGCCAAGAATCTATCGCTGTTGCAGAGCCAGTAAGTGAATTTTCGCCTTAATGGCCCATCAAACCAAACTAAAACTGCCTGCACCTTACAGAGAAATATCGTCAAGCCAACAGAATTTCTTTCGCATGCTGGACAAAAAAATCGATGAGGTAAGAAATCCACAAATCGAAATCATCAGCTAGTCGCCAATACAGTAGCATATCTCACTCCAGGGTCCCGACTATGACTCGGCGAGCGAAACCGAAATTGCCTTGGAGGAGGCACGACTGAATGCGTTGGTGCAACATTGGGAGTCCGCCAGTCTGACCGCATCGATATGCTCCTCAGCGAGTCGTTCCCTGCAAACGACCCCCATACGCCAAGTACAAGTACCGATCAAGCAGCTGAATCCAACGTCACGTCCCGGCGCCCACTTGCTGCAGCCCTCGGTGGCGGCGGCGGCCCAACTGCTGAGCACCTCCGTGACGGGTGGCACAACGGATTATCTACCTCAGCACGTCTTGGCGGGGCGACAGGCGCAACAGCAACAACAGCAGCAACAACAGCAACAACAGCAGCAACAACAACTACAGCAGCACCAACTCATGCAGTCCACCGGTATGCTGTTGACGCACATGTCCCCCCAACTAACCACCGTCAATACGTCCAATGCAGCTGCTGCTCAGCTGGCGCAGCTGCAACAGCAACAGCAACAACAACAGCAGGCACTCTACCAGCAACAGCAGCAGCAACAACAGCAGCTGGCCGCGTATGGCACCCACCTGCTGGCACTGCCTGCTGGTTCGAGCGGTGCCACCTCCTTGCTGGGCGCCGGCAAGCCTCAAAACGTCAGTCCCAAGCGCCTCCTAATGACGTCAACGGGAGCCGTTTACAGCACAACGGCGTCAGTCAGTTCCGTGCAGCCGCAGCCACAGTTGCAGCCGCAGTTGCAGCCAACGCCACAATATATAGCAACCAACATGATGCAGCCCGGAGCGACGGGCTTCATCAATGGCGCCATGCAGATGGCCGCCTACTACGGTCCCAGCACTGCCCCACAGACAGCCCAAGCACCACTTCCTAACATCACACATCAACAACAACAACAACAGCAGCAACAGCAGCAACAGCAGCAGCATCAACAACAACAACAACAACTCGAACACGACACATACGACCCACAAACCGCTCCACACAGCCAAAGTCAACAACAGCAGCAGCCAGGTGTCTACTACGGCGAGGTCATGCATGGCGTGCAGGTGAGTTCATCGATCCTAGATTCGAAATTAAATGTCCTTGACTACTGAAATAGCACTTAAAATTATGAAAAAATGGGAGAAAAATTTGCTCTCCATTTGTGTAACATTTAGGAAATCCCTGCAGACTCATATACTGGAAATATCATCTTTCAGAAAAAAGAATACAAGAATACAAGCTATTAGGATTGCTTTTTTCACTTTTATTATACTGTTATTTTGATAACTTCATAAATGAAATAAATTAATTGTCAGGTTTATTTAACCAATTTAATGATTGCACACGATGGACAGTTTTAAATATGAACACTCTGCTAATAAAAATAATAATAATAATAAATTAAATTAAACTTATAGCTAAATACAAATACAATTTAAAATAGGAGTTAAGTCTTATTTAGGTCAGTAGGGTGTGACCTCTTCAGCCTCCTTCTCATTAACCTCCTCCTTTAATGGGCCGTTTCAGCAGCCTTGCTAATTTACTTTGAAGCTTCCAAGTTCCTTATCTATGTTTGCTGTTTTCATCATGGGGCAGGGCATCAGTTAGCAGGCGAAGGGTTTTGGTTTGAAGAATTCGGATTTTCTTCAGTTGGCAATTATGATTCCAACTATCAAAACCTTTAAAAAATACGAACAGTCAGAGTTCAGAGTTTGCTTTAAAATAGATTTGGAATCTCAAAAACTATTGACAATATTCTGTCCAAGGCATGCGAAGCACTTATAATTGTTAGACCACTTTTAACGATGCAAATAAAATTAAAAAGCCAAAAAAAAAAAAAAAACTTCGGATCTAAATGCATTACTTACCTCGAAATACATTAAAACGTTAATCATTTTGATTAAATGATCTGAGAAATGTTGCCTGGTTGTCATTTAAGTGACATAATGTTTCGAGGATGATTCTTAAGTAAGAATAATAATAATAATAATAATAATAATAATAATAATAATAATAATAATAATAATAATAATAATAATAATAATAATAATAATAATAATAATAATAATAATAATAATAATAATAATAATAATAATAATAAAATGAATAGCTGATTCGGACTAAATGAAATAAAATCCACCTGAACATCTCTATAAAAATGGTTATTGGAAATTAACCAAGTTAATGCGATTTTCGATTCAATCTTTGCATACCCACGACAATGCAAATTTAAGACTTCTATGGTTTTCTCATGGATGTCAGAACTGGACCAAATTAAAATGAAAAGCACTAGCTTTCAAAAAAAAAAAAAAAAAAAGAATCATCAAAATCGGTTCACTCAGCATGAGTTCCCCCATAAAAAAAAAAAACGAAAAAAAACAGTCGAATTGAGAAACTCCTCTTCTTTTTGAAGTTGGTTTAAAATTAGATTACTACCTTCCTACCCACGTCTCACATGAAGCATTTAACTAAAGCCGATATAAACAGCAATAGCTGATTGAATATAAGTTAATATTACCTTAGTTATAAATCATTAATTATAAGTCAAAAGTAGTTCAAAAGAAATAAAAAATATAAGGACAGCCCCTTTCCTCACTTTCGATAGGAAGCACCTGCCCGAAGCCGATTTAAGCTGATTTAATAGGTTAATTATCACGCTAACTTTTAAGATTAAATTTCGAAATATTTACCATTTAAGCAGTAATACTTAATCAAATAAATTACATTAATAATTGCTTACATCAGCAACTTCAAGCAGCATTAAGCAGCATTAAGTTAAATCACATTACTTTCGATCGAGAAATCATAACTGGCGATATATACTTTAGAGAATGTTGTCTGATGCGTTTCGTTTCCAATGCAAAAGCGCCAGCTACCCAGAATATTTGCAAAAGTTTTGGAATTTTTCTCAATTTTTTCTTAATATTAAATTTGACTAATGTATCGAAATTGTTATTGTATTTGCAGGCCGCGCCGCCCACGGAATATAAATTTCCGCCGGCCATAAGCGTACAACGCCTGGCGCCGCAAGTGCAGCGGCAGCTGCGGGAGACGCAGGAACTCATAAAAGACTCGTGTCCGCAGCTATATGCAGCGGGCTATGGCAGCCCAGGACCACCGATACGCAACCCCAGCAGAAATCCAACTAGAACTAGACCCACCCTGGAGACGCAGTTCTCGCAGGAACTCTCGTGATATCTATATATGTAAAGCACACAAATCCGTTTCAAACCAACAAATTGCACGATTGTCACAAAAGCTCTTCAAAAGTACCCCCCAGATGGTAACAACAGAGCAAGTGTTGTGCCTATGAACAAAAATGATCGAAAAACTCAATTAAGTCCGATTCATCACCTCATCATACCTCATAGATACTATAACTATTTGGTCGTAAAACTTTGCTAATAGCTTTCGCGCGGATTCAAATTCCTTTTCAATTTTCTATAAAAAGGTTCTATAAAAGGTTGATCTAATTTTTAAAAAATAAAACAATGTATAAACACTCTAGGAATACCTTCTGGATGATGCTTTTTAGCGGCTTTTGTGACTTTCCTCTCATAAAAGTAAAAACACTCACACTCACAACAACAAAAATGAAAATGAAAAGAAAACAGAATTAGGAACCTGCGCCAAAGAACAATTAACCAAAATTAAAGAAAAAATTAAAAATTACAAAAAAAAATCGCCAAAAAAAAGAATTGATGAAAAATTTGTAAAACTCTGCACTAAATGTTTCAGCCCTGCCCAACCTTCCCGGGTTAACCAATCGACAACTTATAAGCGTATTACTTACAACAGCAACAACAACAACTACTACTATAAAAAGTAAATGCGGAGCAACAAATAAAATGCATTATAACGTATAAAATATAGAGTATAAGAGAGGCAGCCAACAACAAGTAGGAGCAGAAGCTAAAGCTGAAGCTGAAACACGTTCATGATAGGCACGAAGAAGAGAGCAGCGCAAGGCAAATAGATTTAGATTGAGAACACGTACATACACACACACACACACACACACACATATATACATGCATATAACTTTACGCTATGTATGCCAAAAACAAAAACAAAACTAAAACTCTATAAAACAAAGAACAACAGCAACAACAAAAGCAACCACAAAATTGACTTCTACATTCTCACATTTTGTTAGTCATAATCATGGTGTAATTTTTAAATAGTTTCTGTAAAATTTGTGAGTTAACGATTGAATGGAAAGAATATATGATGCTATAAAGTTGGAGCTAGGGGCGGTCTAACAATGATGCTGTCTAGTAATATTTGTATAATTTAGTTCTATTTATTATTATAATAATTTTTGATGTATAATAGTTTTTCTTATATAAAAAATATATACATAAATATATATTTAAAATGAAAATAAAATCAATTAAGTTTAGAACCGAAATCGAATTATTGTATGGAGAATTACTCGTATCTGGATACATAAGAATCATAGGAACAGTAAGTTATTACAACAAAAGCGAGGGAGCGAAGAAATGTATCCAAAAATAATTATATTAACCACTACTAAGCTGACTAAAGAGGCCCTCTATGTCAAGCTCTATTCTAGGAACTCAAAAGTAAGTAAGATGGTGCGGACCCCGATTTCCGAATACACTTTTTAATGCATAAACTCCGAATCATGAACTAGTAAGTATTAAAAAGACCTTTACAAACTTTCTTAATTTTTAAAGAATTTTTTTATTTTGATATCCCATATGTTTCCAAATATAGATTAACAATGCAATGCAATTTGTAAACAAAAAGAAATTTTTATTGAGCTAACGGCAAATAGTTGCATCAATTTGTTGTAAACTAGGCAACTTCTCACGCAATTTGACACGATAGCGCATATCCTCGGCCAATGGGTTTCCCTCTAGGTAGATGGTAGTCAAATTTGTATTATTCTTTAAATTGTCCACACTTCTCCAGCTCGTTATCTTATTGTCGCTTAACCAAAGCTCATCGATTTTACTTAAATGTTCCAAGTGGTCGATGTCTGTGAGAAAGTTCTTCGATAAATCTAATGTCTCCAGATTGATGTTTTCATCCAGATTTTCAATAACTGAAATACCATTCTCGGACAAATACAGCTGTGACAAATTTTTCAGCATCTCTATATTTTCGATTTTAGTTATGCGATTAGCCTGAAGACTGAGCACCTCTAAGTTTGCCAATGTACTGAGATTTTCAATTTTTCGTATCTTATTTTTACCCAAATATAAGTACTTTAGGTTAACCAGTGTATCCAAATTCTTTATAATGCGTAATTTGTTGTCACCCAACTCCAGCAGAACAAGGTTTTCCAATGATTCAATATTTTCGATTTCCGCAATATGATTGGCACATAAAAATAATCTTTCCAATTTCAATAGGTTGCTTAGGTTTTCAATTTTTGTAAGTCGATTAAAACTAATATCTAGCTGTTCCAGGTTAATCAACATATCCAAATTTTCAATTTTCCTTATTTGATTATCATAGAGCTCTAACTCAATCAAATTTGTCAACGTGTCCAGGTTTTCAATTTTCTTTAAAAGATTCCAACGCATATATAAGCGCTTCAGGTTTTCCATTTTCTCCAAGTGCTCGATTTTCCCTGCGTGATAATGATTGAGATCTAGAGTGGATGCTTTTGGATCAACAGCTACTGCTTCCTCTATGGTGGAATATCCTTGTGGCTCAATCACTAACATTCCGCTATTGTTAATCAAAATCGGCGGATTCTCTTCTGACGCTCCAACATGGCGAATAAAGATAGGCATTCTTAATTCTCCGGCTTTACTAAATCCTTTTGGCTCGCCCATGCTCCAAAAACATTTTATATTTTTTGAATTTGTATGTAAAAATTTATATTTAATAAATAAGTCCAATGCTTACTAAGTCTAAATACTGAATACACTGTAATATCAATAATTGACGGCTCATTACATTTAACATACCATACTTAACATCTTGTAATATTATAATATATTATTTTATCGAGATATCTTAAAAAACAAAGAAGTTATAATGAGTGAGAGATTATATAAAACCACCAAACATATTTGGTTGTAATAGCTTTAATCACTTTGAAGCAAATTATCCGATTGTTCCTTTCGCAGCTAAATGGGTCCTATCCGGCTGGCTTTGACAAATTGCAGAACTACAACATGATAGATAAACAGTTTTTTTATAAATAATTTTCTAAACTATTCGATTTTGCATTACATTCGTAGCTTCGTAGCTCTTAAAAGTGTTTTTGTTTTATTTTTAAATTTCGGTAGTTGAAGTCAGCTGTGTTAAGAAGAACTGCTTTTTCTTTAAATAAGCAAAAAGCACCACCACCATTCACAATGTGACTCAGTCTAGCCCGACTTACCAGGCGAACATAAATGATAACAGGTTCGCAAAATCAGCGACAAGCAGTCGATTCATTGGGCTGCTTTTCAAGTGCGAAAGGGATGCCCAATGCAGAAGCAGCGCACCTACTCAATACGCACAACAAAGAAAACAAGCAATGCAAAGACAACAACCGCAAAGTTAACATTTGGATTTTGTTTGTCATTGCTTATCCCAACCGTACTTGGTGCTTATTTCTGTTCGCCTGGTAGACGACTCATGCTGAACGCGCATTTTGAGGACTGACTTCTGCTGCCGCAACAGACTTGAGCTGTGTGGGAAATGAGTCAACGGCCATTTGTTATTTTGCATATTACGAGCTATGGTGACGGCTTGTTGAGCAGTATTATTGGCTTCATTTTGCTGCCTCTTGAATCTGAACTGCTTATCGGTAGTCATTCGTTTTGGGAGTCCAAGAAAAGGGAAATCTGAAATTCCGTGGAACCTAAGGAATTGCCAGCCATTTTTAAAAGTTTAGTTAATTCCTTTATTCTTTTTAATTCAATTCATAATAGGTTTACATCAAGTAGAGTTGTTATACATAGTATTATCATGTTTTTTGTTTAGTTTCTTTCAGCTAAGCAATAGATTAGACTAAAACACATAATATGGTTTTTTGTATGTCTACGCATTTGATTCTAAGAAATTGACCTTTTTATATGTATTTATATGCATGTGTTTCTGTGTATGTTGTGTGATTTAATGTGTGTGGTGACATACTGGAGCATTGCAAATTTTTTAGATGAGATGCAATATTACAATTTTTGAGATTTTACGTAAACAGCAGAAATCAAATACGCCAGGGCTTGGAAACGATGCTACCAACGTCAACGTTGGCTAACACACTTAAGTGCCCCTTTTGAAATTTGAACAAATGAAATACAGAAGAAGGTGTCCTTACAAAACTAGAGATTGAAGTAGAAACTAAAAAATTTTTCAAATTACAAGCGTATTTGATTTCAATTCAAACCATATTATATAGCTGACTTGGGTTTTTAAGAAAAAGGAGATCTTAACAAGCCTCGGATCTCGGGTTTCCTTGTTATTTTTTTGTTTTTTTTTTCTTTTTCTTTTTTTGTTGAGTGCTTGCTTGTGTATAGGAAAGGAAATTATAACAGAGAAAAACCTTAGACCATTTGGCCCAACAAATTTGAATCTACACTTTGGCGGTGCGTGTACTTAATTTTGTACGGGCAAAGGTGGCGGCGGATATGCAAAGATATCACCACTATTGGCCATCACATACGGCGCAGCAGCGGGAACGGCATACTGGGCGCGGTAAGGATTGGTTGCTAGAGCCGCAGCGGTTCCACCATTCAGCGGCACGGTCGCAATTCCCGTCGACATGTTCGAGTACTGGCCATAAGCTTGTGGCGGCGGTGCACCTGCTGCTGCCACCACCTGCGCCGGTTGTTGTTGCTGTGCTGCTGGCATGTTGGCAAAGTTCATGTTGTATGGTGTGAAACGGGAGCGCTTCTGATCTATGCCATAGCCCGCGGCAGCGGCAGCCGCAGCCAATTGCTGCTGCTGTTGTTGTTGTTGTTGCTGCTGTTGCTGCTGTTGTTGCTGTTGCGGAGCTGCCACCTGAGCTGCACCAGTCTTGGGCTCAAAACAAGCGGCATTCGGATTGAATCGTGAGAACTGCACGCCATTTGGTTGTTGCTGCTGTTGTTGTGCCGACGCCGGCTGCGAGCCTTGCTGCTGATAACCGGATGGACGATATGCACCCGCATTGGGTGGGGAAGAGCGTGGTTTGTGCTCGAAGCGCACAACGCTGCCGTTCATTCCCCCAGCGCCTGCATTGTAGCCACCGCCGCCATTGCCAGTGCGTTGATTCATGTTGGCATTGTTGCGATAGTTGCCTCCGTTGTAGCCACCGCCACCTCCGCCCATTTGTTGGCCATTGCGCGCCTGATAGCTGTTGTTGCCGCGATAACCGCCCATGCCCCCGCGCTTCTGGTAACCACCACCATGCATAGCCATGTTCATTAGCTTCGGGTTGATGGTCTGCAAGAGATCGGATATAAAATATGGAATCAGTTAAGCTGTCTGTCATTTTTTGAGGCAAGTGGTTTTTTTAATTAAGTCTGCTCACCTGATTTGCCTCACGCAGCACTTGTATGAGATCATTGGCCTTGTTGGCGTTTGAGTGCGTGAACAGAGTGTATGCGGTTCCCCTATTATTGGAGCGACCTGTTCGCCCGATGCGATGCACGTAATCCTCAGAATTCGATGGATAGTCATAGTTGATAACAAACTTGACATCGTCGACATCTGCGTTTTTGTTTCATTTTGTTTGATTATTTGAAAATTGGAGAAGTGAGCGACATGTTAAGCATTTGTCGAATAAAAACAATAATGCAATATGCAAAAATTATAAACGAAAAACGGAAACTTATGTGTGTGGTGTGTGTTGGTTGAATTTGTTGCTAAACTTAAATACGATTGGTTTTTTTTTTTTGTACTTTGAACAAAAATTTCGCCATCAATACTATTTAGCGTATATAACAACTATACATCTTTGACAAACAGATATATGTTTTTCTTATACTGCAGAAATGTGGACCTCGACCTTTGTGTTATCATTCTTAAACATTGTTTTATTTTTCCTTTTTTTTTTTTTTTTTTGAATACACAAATTTTTGTTTAAGCTTAATGCATACAAGAGACGGCTTGATTAAAATTAAAGTTAAAGTTGATTTTTGTGATTGGTTATGCAAATGGGTGCAAGGTAAAGGGATTATGATTGGGACCATGGTGGGACAGGTCAGACGTGAAGGTAATGTTAGTTTTGGGATGGTTGGCAGGATAATTTGGGTGTTGCGCATAAGACTATGTTTAAAAGAGAGAGCGAGAGTTTAACATAATTAGTCTAGTACTTACCCGATGGCGAGCTTTAGATAAAATTAAGTTAGGTGGTAAGGCTTACGTAAAAATGTTCCTGCCATTTAAAGTTGTTGTTTGTAGTCTCGTGTAGTTGTGAAGCTAAGTGATGAGTTCCGCGTCGCGGCGCTAAAAACTTAAAGTTCAACCCTCAACTTGTATAATATAGCTTATCTTTTCATCTTTTTTTCTGACATATTTTTTTCTTTGTGTATATATTGGTCTTAATGCTTTAAACGGTTTTTTTGCAATTTAAAAAATCGAAGTCCATTTCAAAAGTGCTGATGATATTTTTGTTCACACACAAATTTAGGTTTTCTTTGTTATATATATATAGCGACGTAATATACAATATACGATATGGTAAATACATAAAATAAGCTACGGAAATTAGTATCAGTCAAAAATTATTTGGCCGCAAAATTGCAATTTTACATTCTAGAAGAAAAAATGCCAGCATTTGTCACACACTTTGGTTAAGTAGGAAACCGAATCAGCAATATACTAATATAAAAAAAAAACTTGTTAAAGGAGGCCATTTAAGTTAATTGACTGAAAATGCAATTTCTTTTCATCCAGGCCTACCAGCTTGTGAGCTTGAATTCTTAGCCACAACGACTTTCAAAAACATCGCTGTTGAATACTTGTATTTACATTTTAAGGATGTTTATTTTTTTTTACTTTGCTTGGCCATTGACTCCTTGACTGACAACAAATCGCAATTATACATATATATAAGTATGTGGGTACGTTACGATACTCAAAGAAAATGTGATTGCACGACAAAACTAAAAACTATGAGTAAGAAGAGCAACAATAACTAAGGGTATATATAAACTTCATATAACCAGCAATGCATGGAAAACACAATCCCCTCATTATTTCGCCCACACCATTTGTTTTTTTTTCTTTGAGAGATAATATCAGGTATAAGTGGTAGATTTTAAAGATAAATGAAAACAAAACAAAAACGAAAACGTATTTGATTAGTTTCTTTGCACTGATACTGTTGTTGAAGAGTACATGCTTGTTAACTTAACCTGTAAACACAAAGAGGTCAAGTTTGTCAGCAGGGGAAACGAACGGGCGGGTACCACAGCAAATGGTGCACCGCCTACCGACTCATATTGAGTCGAGAGAGCAAGAGAAAGTGAGAGAATGAGAGGCTTGGCGGTGTTGGCCGATTCATCGCTGCTCAGACTGAGCCAGAACCGAAAGCTCGGCTGCAGACGACGACGAATCCAAAATAATGAAAGAACCCTTTAGGTATGTTGATCCACAGCAACAATTGCTTGGTTAAGACAATTAAAGACAAAGGGACAGTGGCGCTACGGCCGCGAGGCCGGCAACGCCGCTGCCAACAATTATGGTGGTAACCAACACTCACCCAGTCCGCGGGCAGCCACATCAGTGGCCACCAGGATAGAGTGACGTCCATTGCGGAAGGAGGACAGCACAAAGTCGCGCTCCTGTTGCGACTTGTCGCCATGAATGGCGCAGGCGCGCCAGCCTTGACGCGAAATGTTGCGTGTGATCTCATCCACGCGTTTCTTGGTCTCCACAAATATGATGGTCTTGGTCTCATTCTCGGCCGATATCTCCGTCAGCAACTTGATTAGCTTGGCTATTTTCTCAGACTCATCGCACACGTCGACAATCTGGAGAATGTTGTGATTGGCCGACAGCGAGAGCGACCCAATGTTGACCTGTATGTAATTGTTGAGAAACTCCTCGGCCAGCTGGCGCACTTCTTTCGGCCATGTAGCCGACCACATCAACACTTGACGATCGGGGCGTATTTGCTGCATGATCTTGCGAATCTGGGGTTCGAAGCCCATGTCCAACATGCGATCAGCTTCGTCAAGCACAAGATATGTGCAGCGTTTCAATGTAGTTGTGCCACGCTCGAGAAAATCAATGAGACGACCTGGTGTAGCAATCACTATTTCCACCCCGCGCTCTAAATCACGAGCCTGCTGACCTTTAGGGGCACCGCCAAAGATACAGGTGTTGCGCACCTGAGTGTTTGAGCCAAACTCGATGGCGACTTGTTGGATTTGTTGTGCTAGCTCACGAGTGGGTGCTAGTACCAATGCTATGGGCCCATCGCCGCGCTCCAAACGTGGCTGATTATTGATGTGGACTACCGCGGGCAGTACATAAGCCAGCGTCTTACCTGACCCGGTCTGGGCCACGCCCACTAAATCACGGCCGCTTAAAGCGATGGGCCAGCCCTGCGCCTGTATAGCCGTGGGTTTAGCGAATCCCTGCTTGCGTATTTCATTCATTACATAGTCAGGGAAGCCGCCCTCCTCGAATTCAATGCTTGGTGTGGGCACCTCATCGCCCTTAATAGTGATCTCGTTGTTGGCCAAGAATGAGTCAGTTTCTCCTTTCGTGCGTGACAGCACGGACTCACAAGGCTGATAGAAATTTTTACGGAATGGAGTCAAGTTAACTTCTGCCCAGACAATCTTTGGCAAATGAGCGCCATGATTTGACGTTCGGTTGCCGTTGTTACCAAAACCATCGCGCTCGTTGCGCTGTCCGGTCATGTTCATGCGACGTGGTCCTGCGGCATTTACAACGCCATTAAATCCGCCGACGCCGTTGCCCCCGTTTCCACCGCCCGGACCACCACGGATGTATGGAGCTGTACGATTACGTTGATACATGCCGGCACCACCTGCACCGCCTGGGCCACCCATACGATTGTTGGCCATCGCGGCTCCTGCGCCACCGCTGCCACCCATGTAAGCGCCCGCACCGTTCACACCACTCTGGTTGTACCTGTAATTACCGTTGTTTGCCATAAGTTACAATTTTGCGCATTAAAAGCTATTTTAATTCCAAATATCAATTTGTATGTCTATTTATGTAATTTCTCGTTTTTATACTGCCATTTTGAATTATTGATTTTCAGACGTTGTACGTATGCATGCATACATGTGTGTATGTATATGAGCATGTCAAATTTTTTCATGCCCATTGGAGCGCTAGCGCCGCATGACACCAAAAAGAAGGGTCTAGAAAAGCGTAGAATGTGCATAAAAAAACAGCAGAAACTTACATTTTTATGGTTCCTTTACGTTCACTTCACAATTAATTTGCAAATTGTAATTTATAAATACAGTTTATTTTAATTTTGTCACCAAAAAATTGTGGAAAATTTCCAGAGTGAACTTTTACGTGAGCGAGTGTTGGCAAATGCCTTTGCCAAGTGAACTACCGTTTGACAATAATGTCTTTGCTAATTTTTGTGTGTGTATACATTAATACGGTCACACTAGTATGCGATACGCCAACTAGTTGGCAGCCTTTTGGCCAGATGTTTACCCTTAGCGATTGGATTAAAAAATAAAATAAACAATTTTCGATTTCACACAGCGCTGGTGTCCTTATAGGGATATAAAATGCGCACGAGTTATAAAAGGAATCGGCCCTTCGATTTCAAACTTATTGATCTGGTTGAGCCCAATCCTGTTCTCTACCAACGAACGGGACTGTCCAATTACGAGGCTATGAAAGCCAAGAACTTAATTTGGGATAAAATTGCGCAGCTTATGGGTCGGAATGGTAAGTTAATCCATTTTTAGTACTAAAAATGGCACCTAATCATTACACGCTTACTCATTACCAGTGGAGTTTTGTTTAAAGCGTTGGAACAACCTTCGCTATCAATTTAAAAAGGAATTGCGGAGAACTGAGAAGCTATGTCCAAAACTTGGAGTCGTCCGTAGATCCACATGGCCATACCTCGAACGATTGCGTTTCCTGATTGACACGGAACCAAAACAAAAGTGTAGAGTACCCACCAATCTTGGTGAACAAACTGAAATGGAAGCTACGCCAGAAGCAACAACTTCTGCACCTTTGGAACAAGGGGTGTGGCAAACATACGATGGGTGTCTGGTAATGCAGGTTACCCAAACCGAACAACCTGATGCGTCGACATTTATAGACGGAGACGACAGTTTCATAATCGAAGAAATTATTGAAGGCCCAGGTGAACAGATGATAAAAGAAGATGCAACTTACGCAAATTATAGAGAACAGCAGCAAACACTTCAAAATCAACCTACACAGATTAAACCACAGAGACCAGCATCATCAGCTGTTAGTTTAGAACCATTTCTCGATGAAATCGATGAAAACGTAAGTTTCCTTAATGTGGACAGCTTACTATCACAGCTTAAGGCCGTACAGCGGGAACGCGCCGAACGACGGGTGTTCGCTTTCCTCCTCAAATGCCAACTACGATCATTACTTAACGAACCCATTGACGATTTAGTTATTTAATTAGCATTAGGCATAACAAACTTCATCTTCTCTAGAATTAAAACCTCGCACACACCTTACACTCTGCATTTGTCCAGATCCAGCCAGGGTATTTTGGGCTTTGTTATGAACTGCTCGCGGGATAAACTGTCCAGCATGACAGCTTGCTGACGAACATACTTGACCAGGCGTTCGATATGCGTGTAATCGTCGCAATTCAGCTCAAAGAAACGTCGCCAAAGAGCACAGGCCAGCACCTTATCGTCGGACATGATGCCCTCGTCGTAAGCAATAAGCGCTGCTTGAAACTGTTCCGAGAGTGTCTGAATCTGTTGCCTCGTACGTGAGGGGTTATTAGCCTAGAAATAAATATGAGATGAGGACATTTTCTTGATGATATTGTCGCTCGCACTTACACCCAATTTTTTGGCTCGTGTGTTCACATCACCCCACATTGCCTCAACTATACAATTTCGTAGGAAGCGACCATCTTCGCCTGTTTCCGAACCTTCGGCCATAGACCGCATTAATAAAAGCCAAACGTGCAGTTCAGTTACGAGAAACCACGAGTTGAACGTGTTTGGCAGGTTGAAATCGTTAAAGAAAGCCACATAGTTGATCTTGTCCGCCACACTTTCGTACAACAAATGGCTAGCAATCTTTAGGCGCTGTATTACGAATAGAAAATAATTTTTATAAAGATTTATATAGTACATATGTAAGTATGTGGGAGATACTCACCGCTTTTGTGTTGGGCGTAAAACCGACTTTGGTCAGAACGCGCTTCAATATATTGGTATCACCAACGTCGCTTTGTTTTGTTTTGTCCGAACTGGTCACAACGCCGGTTGCGGTAGGACCTGAGGAGCATAGTCTGCAGTGGGGTGTAAAGCCAATCGCTGTCACCGCGCTTGGTTTATATATGTGTAGTGTCAGCTGTGGGATCAAGTGAATATTAATAAATAGTATATCGGCGTTGCAGAGTTGGTTTATATAAGAGTTGCATGCATCGCATGATTGACTTTTCTATTATCGCCCTGATCTTCACAGTATTTTACTTACTGCAGGCCGTATATATATGCCGCTCGCCAGCCTCCTAACAGTGCGAGTGCATAGCATATTTAAATAAAATGTTCAATTGGTTTTAAAAAAATGTATACGAAAACTACACGCGATTTACAAAAAGAACAACTGGACAGCTGTTATGTTTGACTGACAAAAGGTGACTGCTACCACCACATACGCTGAATTCAAACAAGTTGGCCCGTTCCGCATTACAACATATTAACCGGCCGTTGTGAAAAAACACAAATAAAGAACATACATATTTTGTACTAAGTATGTTGCGATTGCCCACACAAATGTTTAAGCATGCCTTGATCTTGCAAAGGCTACCACCGCCATGCAATGGAAACACCACAGTTAAACTGGTCCTGCGTAAAATGAATTCACAGCGACCGGCTGATTGGCCAATAGGAGTAGCCACAAATGCGAAGGATAAGGAGAAAATAACCGCACTAGGTTGGTTCCTGCTGGTAAGTGAGGTTGATCTCGATATTGCCATTTATTGACATACCTTACTTTGTTTTAGCTTATACCCGCGACCACGTTTGGTCTAGGCTGCTGGCAAGTGAAACGCAAGATCTGGAAAGAGCAACTCATAAAGGACCTGAACGAGCAGTTACGCATGCCGCCCGTTGAGCTTCCCGATAAGTGTGTAATTATAAATATCCTTTTGCATATTAACATTCATGTGTAAATGTTTACAGTCTGCGAGATCTGGACAAGATGGAATACCGTCTGGTGAAAGTACGCGGCCATTTCCTACACGACAAGGAAATGCGTATAGGCCCACGATCGCTGATAAGACCCGATGGCGTTGAAACACAAGGGGGCTTATTTTCACAACGTGACTCGGGGAATGGGTATCTAATTATCACACCTTTTCAACTGGCTAACAGAGAGTAAGTTTGCTTATGAATGCTAAAAAGAATGCTTAGGGTAATTGCGCAACATTTCAGCGATATTATACTCATAAATCGTGGTTGGGTCTCCCGCAAGCATGTGAACCCTGAAACACGTGCCCTGGGTCAGAATCAAACTGAAGTGGAAGTCACAGCTGTGGTCCGTAAGGGCGAGAGTCGTCCACAGTTCACGCCTGATCACAAAGGAGGCGACAACTATTTATATCGCGACCTGCCCCGCATGTGTTCGTCTACAGGAGCTGCGCCAGTCTTCCTGGATGCCGTCTACAATGAACAAGTTGCTCCTCACAGCCCTGTGGGCGGCCAAACACGAGTTACCCTGAGAAACGATCATCTCTCGTATTTAATAACGTGGTTTAGTCTATCGGCGGCAACTTCATACCTCTGGTATCGGCAAATTGTCAAAAGAATACCATTTTAGGAGTGGATCAGATTTAAATATTTGTTGTTACATTTATTGTATAAAATGTTCATGCAAAAATACACTCATTAGTCCTTGAAATGCTTGTTTAATGCATGAAGGTATACAGACACGCCTGAACTAGTTGGACAGCTGTTATCTTAAGTCTCTATATTGCAACTGTAGACGCTTACATAGAGGACCTACATAAGTATGTATGTAGGTAGTATCTAGAGTATGAATACTTAGGCGTACCTAGCGAAATACTTTATCTATAAAAACACACAAAGGCATATTTACAATTGGTAGTGTCGTAAATACTGGAAAAATCTTGGAAACTTTAGTCTTAAGCACTAAAATGCAATTGCGACGTCCGTTATATTGTCATCATATAGCATTCATTGCATTGATCTGTCGTTCCTACAGTTGTGGCACAATTCCCCAGGAGCGCAATAAACCTGCCCGCTGATACTTCTTGCCAATGGTCTGCACATGGAAACCGATTTGCTGCAATCGCTCGTGGTCAAGAATCTTGCGTCCGTCGAAAATGTACGCCGGCTTCATCATCGATTGATAAATACGCCGATAGTCCAGATCGACGAATTCATCCCACTCTGTGCAGAGGACAATGGCGTGTGTGGAACGCACTGCACTGTACGGGTCGCTGTGTATCTGCACGGCCTTTTTCACATTTTCCGGAGATTCCGTCACTGTGGGATGTGTCAGATCATCGATGATCTGCTCGGGTTCCACCTTGGGATCGTAAATGTCTAGTTTGGCGCCTTCCTCCAGTAGCGTTTGGCATACCGTAATTGCCGCTGTCTCACGGGTATCGCCAGTGTTCTTCTTGAAGGCAAACCCTAAGATGGCAATGCGTTTATCCGAAACGGTGTTAAAAAGACTCTCGATAATCTTCTGCGAGAAGCGACGCTTCTGATACTCATTCATGTCGATTACTTGTTGCCAATAGGCCGCCACCTCAGGCAGATTTAGGTTCTCGCATATGTAGATCAAATTAAGTATGTCCTTTTGGAAACAGCTACCACCAAAGCCCACGGAGGCCTGCAGGAACTTGGAACCGATACGTGAGTCTAGCCCAACGGCGCGTGCCACTTCCGAGACATCTGCGCCCGTCGCCTCACACACCGCTGACAAAGAATTAATACTGGAGATGCGCTGAGCCAGAAAAGCATTTGCCGCAAGTTTGGACAGTTCGGAGCTCCAGGTGTTCGTGGTTAATATATTTTTCTTGGGTATCCAGTGTTCATATATCCACGACAGTTTTTCCACAGCCTTATGACCCTCAGTCGTCTCCTCACCACCAATCAGGACACGATCCGCATTCAGTAAATCATTGATTGCCGTTCCCTCGGCCAGAAACTCGGGATTCGACAGTATATCGTAGTGTATGCCCGGTTTCTGATTAGCTCGCAGAATGTGCATTATACTCTCGGCAGCACGCACCGGAACCGTGCTCTTCTCCACCACAATCTTGTTTGACTGCGCTATCTCGGCAATCATGCGCGCGGCACTCTCCACGTACTTCAGATCCGCCGCTCGACCTACGCACGGAAATTAATGTATTAGAAGTCTATCAAGTATTTAAATTATTCCTCTCTAACTAACCTTTGCCATTTCCACAAGTTTTCGTGGGCGTATTAACGGATATAAAGATCAGATCTGCTTCTCTAATGGCCGTATCAATGTCCGTTGAGAAAAATAGATTAACATTCCGACACTGCTTCACCACATCATCCAAGCCGGGCTGTAATATACAGATAAATATATAAATTAAAATGGGCCAGAAGAAACCTTTTTTCCGTTCATTAGCAAATTTGACACATTTCAGATGCCGTTAGCTGTGTTACCTTTTTATTATGCCACGCACGAAACATACTTATCAGTTCACAACAACAAAGTAAACCTCAAAGCGCGCACCCTACTCGAGATAAGTTCTGGGCCTTATTCAACTATCCATATCTAGAAGCACTTCTGTCTGAAGGTTTCTCATTTAGTTATTAACATGGGCATGTTTATAAATATTGTAGTGACCCACATTATAGCCTGCGACCATAATTTGTTAATCTGCTGCATGCTTTTTTGAAATATGACTCGGATCTAGCTAATTGCCAACACACAACAATTTAGAACTACTTCAAGGGGACACCAAATTAGTTACTTGTCGAATAATCAGAAATTCAACTTAAAGAATGTTCAGTAGAATATACATATATACTTGCCTTTTGTTGTAAGCTTTTTGCTAAAATATAACCATCAATCTTTATCATTTAATGGAATTTGGCGTCTATTGAACCGGTTTGTATTAAAAATGCGCACTTCATTGTACAATTTAGGAGGAAGTTGCTAATGGTTACGGTTTCTTGTTTATTATAACCCTCCATAAAACAAATATGTATGAACCTACATGGAATCCGGGTAAAATTAACAAGTGTGAATGCTAAAGATGTACAATTCAGTCTATGAAATACATACATAAAACGGAAATATTCACATATTAGATATAGATATTCACATAGAGGCCAATGAATTCATCGGGCAACTATTGGCTGGAATATATACGGTGTAGAATTTAGAAATTAAATTGAAAGTATTAGTTTAGGGAAAATAAATCTATAATATATTCTTTCTATAACCAAGATTTCTACAACGAGTAGAAAGCTACAGCCTGATTTTAGTGTGTCTTGTGCTCGCCCCTCCCTCCGCCTTATTTTATCCGAATGCGACTACATGATGTGATTTTAATGAAACTTCGGATTATTATGGGAACATGTACAGCCCTTATATTCCTCGGGTTTCATAAAGACGGCCATGTCTATAACATGGGGTCTGGCCCCCTCCTTATGGTTGCTGCATACATTCATGCATACGCTTCGAATACAGAAAAATGGGTATGGCATTTGGATTCATTTCCGTCTGTTACTCATATATATACAAGTATATATTTTAAACGACTGTTTTTTGTTCAATTTCAGTTCAATACAACCTTGAACCGACTGGCCGATAAACTACCAAATTTTTTTCAATTTACCAAACCAAAGAAATTCATTGAAGTTGATGAAAACATAGACATGGGCTGCAATACTATAGGTTCTGTCTAACAGGTGGCCGTCTGACACTATCTTGCTGTGCAATTAACTGCAAACAAGAAAAGTCAATGAAAACTAATTACAAATTTTGCAAACGCAACAAAAATGTGCAAACTAATAGCCAATTGTGCAAGCTTGTAAACATGAAAAGGAACCAACTATCTGCATATTTGCAATTGTCTTCGATAAATTGCAAGCTAGTTGGGGCTGCAATGATGCAACCATTCGAACATCACTGTAAATACATGTGTAAATACATATACTTGTAGTATGTAAATTAATTATGAATATCGATGAAAGAGAATTGCCGAAGCGCCTTGGCCTGAAACCACAACAGAAACAATGCCCGGCGTAATACTCGCTCTCTGTTAAACTTCTAAATATAATCTAAATATAATATGTGTATATGTATACACATTTGTGACTGTATTTTATAAAGGTGTGGAAGTTTAGCTAGAAAACTGGCTGCGATAGTAAATGGGTTTTATATTAGTTTTTCAACAAAACAATTTTGTTCCCGCTAATACTTCGAACGTCACATATCCAGCACAGATAAAGCGTAATAGACATGCTTATCAGCTCACAAGACTCGGTGAGTTTGGCCTGATACTGATAATGGTTGGTTGGCTGTGGATAGGGTGATGGGGGCTAGCGGAAGTGGTCCGGAAATGCGACTACAAATAAAAAACGTACACGCTTGTTCTGAACCAAATTAGGGGCAACTATTAGAGATTAGTACAAACAATTGGAAATTATTTGATCTACTTAAAAATATTGCTAGTAATTACACTAAAATTCACATTAAATCGATCAGATAAGATGTCGGTTTCTTTTAAATGTGACGATAATTAAACATGAGTTGGAAAATTTTTAGATCTCAAATATTTATCTGAAATACATCTGCAAGATGTACAATCTGGCAGTTATTAAGGCTTTATTACTCTTTCGTCTTATTTGTTGTTGTTGTTCCTTTATTTTTGTAATGCGGTGCTCTCAATGCGATAAGATTTAGAAGTTACTTGGAAAAAACAGAAGTGCCTACACTTTACGATGAACTAACCAAACTACAAGTATTCACGACTTTCAGCCATAAACAGTTCCTTCTTTATTTCTTTATAAATGTATTTTGAGTTACTTGCTTTAAAAATGGTATTTGTTTCTGTACTTTGTTGTTAGGTGTATTGAATATTCAACAGTCAATAAAGATTATTACACACACATGTGTGTGTGCCACTTATGAATGACTAACATGTTCACTGGACGGGTCGATTCTACAGACCGCTTGGTTTTTGGCTTCACTTATGATCTGACCATTAACCTTGTTGTGGGCCAACTGCGTCCGCACTATGCCAGGCATTTGGTTATTCAGTTAGCCAGCACCTGTGTAGTGTGTACGCAACGCACGCACGACTGATTATTTCGAAGGTAAGGGCTAAGGCGAACGTGCGCGGTGTGGTGTTCGGTGCAGGCGCCGGTGTCCCATACGCAAATGAGTTTAAAGAGAACTGGTTTATATATATACACACACACACATAATTCAAAAAGACGTACTTATAAAGGCGTACTAAACACAACAACAACAACCAGCGCAAAGGCAGCAGTCGGCTACTTGAAAATGAGCGCGCGGTCGTTGCCGTTGCCGTGGCTTTTGCCAAATGATGGGTCTGTCTGTCTGCCTGACCATTACCTGATTGATGTTTTGTTTGTTTAGTTTGTATGTTTTTAATTCACATGCCGCCGCAGGGTATGATCAATATTTATAGATTTTACCACAAAACAATGTACAGATATGTTTGTAGGAACATTTTTGACGGTCATCACGGGAGTTGTGTGGGAATAAAAATACTAACCTCATAAATTGGCAATTTATCCGAATTCCATTGTGCAATGCGCTCAGAACTTTTATCTACGAGCGTTATGCTAATATCAGGACACTTGAGGGCCATAACAGCGCATGTGGGGCCTCCAACATAGCCAGCGCCAATACAACAAACCTTCATAGCGATAATATAGTTATTCCTTTTGCAGACAACGCTTTTATACTTTTTATTTCCGTTCTGTTTAAAAAGGTACACTTCGCACTGTTTTCACAGAACCGGCGCGACTGTAGTAAAAATGGGGACGAGCAAACAAGTGAATGTTGCAAAGCACTACTCGATGGGAGCTTTATTTTCACGAATAAATAGTTACTTGTGTTTTGAAGCAAGCGCAGATTTAATAAATAACTGAGCGCTAGCAATGATAACAACGTCCGAACGCGGCGAAGTTTCCAATGGGACAAACTTGTAAAGTAAACCAAATTTGATTGGTGATAAATTCGATGAAAAAACACCTAAGTTGGCAGCCCCAACCACATGTGCGAGTGAAGTGCACATAGGAGCACCGAATAGAGTGACCATGGCGACCAGCCAACAGCTGTTTAATCGCGGGTATTGAAGTTTGAAATGTTATTTTAAAAATAATCTGTCATCAGAGTAGGCTATTGGCATTTATGTTTGACAACATTCGGCTAGGAAAAGCATTTCGTTATGAACTTTTGGCTAAATAACACATAAAAAAGTCCACACTTAAAACTTCCGACTCCCCCGTTTTTGCACAAAACAAAATTAACCATGTTGCAGCTTTATAGAGTATCCAAAATTTTGCGGCTGTGCCACGCAATTGAGGCAACGTCGGCAATGCGTATGATGTCGAAGAAATCAGATGGATGCCCCTCAGACGAAAAGAAGAAAAGTGAAGACAAGTGCAAAAAGAAGGGTTCGTTTTAGAATTTGGTCTCTTAAGCTAGTTATTTAACATTGGCTTTGAGTTTATATAGGGGACGAGGATAAGGCAGCCAAAAAAAAATCCTGTTCGAAAATAGGAGTCGAGGAAACGGCAGGAAAAAAGAAAACAGATACATGTGCAAAGAAAAAAGATGCGTGTCCAAAGAAAAAAGACGCCTGCCCAAAGAAAAAAGACGCCTGCCCAAAAAAAAAGGACTCCTGTGCCAAGAAGAAAGATTCCTGTGGTAAAAAAGGAGATGAAAAAAAGGAGCCTAAGAAAAAAGCGTGTCCGAAAAAAGGAGATGGTGTGTATAAGTATATATACGACACATCGGGACCAGTAGTCCTAAAACATATATTACAGAGAAAGCAAAAAAAGAAGCGCCAAAGCAAGAGCCTAAGAAGGATGTCTGTGCGGAACTTAAAAAGAAAGAGAAACCTAACGATATAAGCGGTGGAGTCAAGTGCATGGTCAAGAAGCCCACGCCTTGTCCGCCTGCAGGTGGCAAACCCAAACAGCTCAGTTGCGAGGAACTCATTCTAAAGCGCGAAGGTCAGCTCAAGTCGGAAGACGGCGGTGATCTGACGAAAATACGTGGCGGTGGGCCCCGATGCCCTTGCCCACCAAAGAAGAAAGAACGTAAGCTACAGAAGCAAACAAAATCGTGTTAGTTTGTAACGATTTACTAATCCCGTATAGCAAATGATAGCAAATTGACGGATCGCTGGCGCAAAATTTCGATGTTTGGCGCTCTTCCATTAATAGCGCTGCTCACCATCTTTGTGTTCACCACCCGGGAGGAACCTGAGCGACTAGAATTCCACAACTACCCGCATTTGTACAAGCGTGAAAAACCCTACTGGTTCTATGACGGTAATCGGACGCTCTTCCATAACAAGGAATACAATCCACTGCCTCCTGGTGGCTATGAGGATGAAGTTGATGAGGAATCTATGGGCAAGGAGGCTGAAACCGAAGAGGGTAAGAAGCAGCGTCTTAAGGAGTTCCAGGCTCTCCTCAAGGAGTGGAAGAAAATGTCGTCAAAGCGTGAAGCTGAAAACAAAAAGAAACAGGCCGCCGAGGAGAAGGAGGCTAAGAGACAGCAAGCGGAGGCCGAAAAAGAAGCTAAAAAGCAACAGGCTGAGGCTGAAAAAGAAGCCAAGAAACAGGCAGCAGAGGAAGCCAAACGGCAAGAAGAGGCCGATAAAGAAGCCGAAAAGAATATGACGCCTGAGGAGCGAGAAGCATTTAGGGCTGAAAAGAAAATGAAACAGGCTGAAGAAAAAGAGAGAAAGCGTCAAGAAGCCGAAGCCGAAAAAGTTCGCCAAAAAGAGGAAGCTGATGCCGAAAAGGAACGCAAAAAGCAGGAAGCTGAGGCCAAAAAACAGGAAGCTGAGGCTGAGAAGGAGCGGAAGAAACAGGAAGCTGAAGCTGAGAAAGAACGAAAACGTATAGAAGCTGAAGCAAAGAAAGCACAAAGTGCTGCGAAAAAAGTTGAACATCAACCCCAAGCCATTACTGCAGAGGATTAATAATTCTAAACAATAACTTCTCATGTCTCTTCCTTAACCATTTCAAAAAAACTGCTTGTTTCAAATTAAAAAGTTTCCCACCAACATTTGCATTCGCTGTGCATATTTATTTTGTAATCTTTGCTTATTTAACTGCGAAACTTAAAACAAATGTACATAAAATTAAAATCTAGCACTTCTTCGGGTCCGTCACTACTCTGCATTCAGAAAATGAATCACTGCCTTTGGCCTCCTTTTTAGCACACGGCGGGCACTCCACGCAACAGATGTCGTCCTTTGGCGTGGCCTTTAGTAGACCATCAATGTTTTCAAGCTTGGGGGGAGCTTGTTTTGTGCCTGAGTCGACGCGAGACGGAACATCGTTTAACTTTGACTTGGATGGTGTCTTGGACTTGAAAGCAAACTGGGGGCCATCGGGCGGATTTGGCTTGCCCCAAAATTCCTTGGGCACGTCCCAGATAATCAGAGAGCCGTCCGTACTACCGGTAACAAACATTTGGCCGCAAGGGCTGAATGCACTGCTGATAACCGATGACGCATGCTCGGATCCAATACCCACAATTTCACCGCTGTTGTAGTTCCAGAGCTTCACCTGCAGATCGCTGCCCACCGAAATAAAGTAATCGCCGGTGCTGTTGATGGACACACAGTTAACCGACGACTTATTGGAGGCAGTCAACTCGCGAATCATAGCCCCATTGAATGTCATCCAGTAGCTAATACGTCCGTCCGAGCCACAAGTAAGCACCTGGACACCGGAGGGGAAATAAACTGCGGCCATAAACTGAGTGTTAGCAGTGACGACTTGCTTGCGAGTCAGGCGCCTGAAATTGGAAACAAATAAGATATACCATTTAGTTTATTTGCTCCTTAAGACATCTTTTTAGACTGTTACTTACGTGACGTCCCAGATAACACAGGAACCGTCGGTGCAGGCGGAAATCACCTCAGTGTCCATGCAGTTCATATCGAGTGTAGTTATGGGGCCGGAGTGATCTTTAAGCACTCCCAGCAGATCCTGACGATATGGATCGATTTTCCACACGCGCACCTGTCCTTCAATACCACCAGTTACTATCATGCGACCATTGGACGACACGGCCAAAGCACTGCAACCTGAACCATTGAAGTCGTGAGTATCAAATAACTATACAGCTGTTTTAACTACTTACCTTTGTTGTGGGCATTGGGTATGCAATAAATGAGGCGACCAGTGATTGGGGTGAAAGCGCGAATGATGCCATCATTCCAAACGGAAATAATACTGGTTCCATCCTGTGTGAAGCGAATGGCTGCGCAGTTGAAGTTGTAGACCATAATACGGAGCAGCTCTTGCTTTCGAGAAGCGGACCAGATGCGAATACACTCACGACCCGATGTGGCAAAAACGGCGGCGTAGTTTCTGCGTTGCGATAAATATTACATCGCTGATTTGGATCGCATTAGACTGCAACTTACTTGGGGAATGTGATGCAATAAACAGATTTTGTGTGACAAGTGCGCAACAGTTTCAGCACCCAGGTGCTAATCATCAACTGGTAGATCTCATTGGTGTCCGTGCAGATGTAAAATTTGTCCGCAGTGGCTCGCACTAATGATGTGACGCTGCCAGAGACGCGTGTACTCTTAAGCTGCAGGAGTATGAACATTAGGACTGTGAAAATCATACCTCTAATTTTACCCACCGTGCGAAGGAACGGCCATGTTGGTCCTGGATATTCACGATAATGGACCAGTGGCACATCCGTGCGCTGCACCACTAGTTCGACAACGCCATCTCCAGCACCCACCAAGAGCTTCCCACCTTCGAGCAAATAAAGGGCCCTCACCCCATTCACATACCGATTGCAGTCACGGCCTGTTGGTTTTCGTGGATTGTGCGTGCCAAACGCACCTAGTATACATGAGGATGTTCCAGGTCGGGATACATTATCGCGATCACAACAGCTAAGTACGATCTTTACAATGTCTCCGGTTCCGGTGCCCAGATAGGCATACTCGTCGTTCTTCTCTACGCGCGCGCAGTAGAATACCCGCGACTTATTACCCACATGGACATCCTGCACATGTAGCTTTTTCTGATCTCGCAAAATGCTCCACAAGCGGAGATGGCGATCACCCGCTGTTATAAAGAAGTACGGATTTTTGTGTAATGGACGTACAGTAAGTGCATTGCCAGAAATGGAGCGCGATGCAGTCTGACGACAAATTGCCGAGCTAGATAAGAATAAATTAGTGTGATTATAGAATGAGAAAAAAACTCATTTAGCTACCTACAATGACTCCACATCGAACACGATGACCGTGCCGTCATCCTTGCCGCCTATTGAAACCACAAAGCGATCCTCGGCAGTAAAACAAATGGCCTGGACATGAACCTTGTGCAAATCGTGACGCGAGAGCTCCCTGCGCTGCGCAAAGTCCCAGAGAATAACATAGCCTCGGAAGCCCATGTGATTAACCTGACCCGATGCTATGTACTTTCCGCTCTTGCTGAGATCTAGACAGGATATGCTGTTGGTGTGGCCGGACATGAACTCTTGGGTGTTCTTTTTGAAGTCCCAAATTGCAATTTTGTTGCCCAGTGCAAAGATCGAATGCTGGTTATCCGGATGCTGACGCAGCCCGTTCGCCACTTTGCCATTAATGCCGAAAATTGTGCGTGGATGCAATTTGGCAATTTCATGTGGAGTTGGTTCCGCCATAACTGTTTTTATATATGTATGTATTTATTGGATTTTAAAAATATACATATAATTATGTGTAATTGTCTCGTTAGAGTTCCACAGTTTGACTAAAACCTGCCGGTTGGCTTGTTTATTTTTAAAAACGAAATTCAAATGACCGTTGCCTAGCGGCCTACCAGCAAAGAGAAAACTAGTCGTCTCTGTTACACCCTCTCAACAGCTGGCCAACATGTACAGAGTTGCCAGTTCGGCAATTGCTAATTTGCGCTTATCATTCTGTTCGCCGGCACCGTTTGTATGTAAGTACAATTTTGCATCTGGACATACATATAAATATATGTACATATGTACATATGTGTGCATGTACTTGTATTAGCTGCTCTATATATGGCCACTCAAATACATTCTCCCATATTTACAGTTTAACTGGCGAACGGTAAACATCATAATCTAATAAGCAACGGACTGTCACACGCTTGACCTAAGCAAACAAAGGAATTTCTGCAGACGGCCACAACAACAAAGTGTGCAACATGCTGATGTTAGGGGGCGTACCTAGATTTTTACCATTGGGACTGCTGTTCCTCGGACTAATTGCGCAAAGTGTTGCTTTGGGTTTTCAATATCGTAATGGCCGTCATGTGCACGGATTTCTGGGCGAGCCGAGTAAAATTGCGACACTTCAGCGGTCGCAGGAACCAGATGACCTTTGGTTTGATCAAATTCTTGATCATTTCCATGGCGCTGATAGAAGACAAACTTGGAAGCAACGGTACTTCGTAAATGCAGCTCACTATCGGAACGACAGCACGGCGCCCATATTTCTTATGATAGGCGGCGAGGGTGAGGCTTCCAAGAAGTGGATGAATGAGGGTGCTTGGATTCATTATGCAGAGCATTTTGGTGCCCTCTGCATACAGTTAGAGCATCGCTTTTATGGCAAGAGTCATCCAACGAGGTGAGTGTACGTGTGTTGCGATCATTGAAATACAATAACATTTCATCTGTCATTAAGTGATTTGTCCACCAAAAATCTGGTGTACCTAAGCTCTGAACAGGCGCTGGCCGATTTGGCCAATTTTGTGGCTGCAATGAAGAGTAAATACAACCTAGCTGATACCCAGAAGTGGATAGCATTTGGTGGCTCTTATCCGGGCTCATTAGCTGCCTGGGCCAGAGAGAAGTATCCGCACCTGATATACGGTTCCATAAGCTCCAGTGGTCCACTACTGGCAGAAGTTGATTTCAAGCAGTACTTTGAGGTGGTCAAGTCGTCACTGGCTAACTACAATCCCGGTTGCGTGGAGGCAGTGACTCGATCATTTGCTCAGGTTGAGATACTGCTAAAGCATATGATAGGACAACGCAATCTCGATGAAAAATTTAGGTCAGTAAGTGGAAATTTATTGAAATGACTTGTACATATATGAGGCCTTCTACAATTAGAACCTGCACGCCAATTAAGGACTCTATTGAAAACCAATTGGACATATCGAATTTCTTTGAGAACCTGGCTGGCAACTTTGCTGGGGTGGTGCAATACAATAAGGACAACAGTCCACACGCCAATCTAACTATCGATGATGTAAGTGATCGCCTTGAACCTAAAAAATTACCCTAATAATTTTTCATGACTGCAGATCTGCGATGTAATGCTAAACTCTACGGTTGGTCCGCCTGTGACTCGTCTAGGGATCATCAATGAAATGCTGCTGCAGCAATCGAATGCCACTTGTTTGGATTACAAATATGACAAAATGGTAGCTGATATGAAGAACGTTTCGTGGGATTCTGAGGCGGCTAAAGGCATGCGCCAGTGGACGTACCAAACTTGTAATGAATTCGGGTTCTACCAGACGTCCGAAAACAAATCTGACACTTTCGGCGATCGCTTTGGCGTCGATTTCTTTATACGTCAATGCATGGATATTTACTCCGAGCATATGGACTCGAAATACTTGGAGCAGGTGGTGGCTCAAACGAACAAATACTATGGCGCTCTCAAACCGGACACAACTAATGTACTTTATGTGCATGGTTCCATTGACCCATGGCATGCTTTGGGTCTAACAGCTTCAAAGAATCCGAAGACGCCAACAATATACATTGAAGGTACAGTATCGACATTCTGTTAGCTAGTAATCCCATTGTTTTTATAATTGTTATCGATTCCAGGCACCGCACACTGCGCCAACATGTACGAGCCGGTACAGACTGATCCAAAGCAATTGGTGGCGGCTCGCAATAAGATACTAAAATATCTGGCCAAGCTATTGGATGCCTATACTTCAACTTAAGACGAGAAAATGTTACTCTAAGAGTATACTCATGTAATAATCAAAATCAAACTTTTTGGAGATAAACAATAAATGATTGTGCTTTGTATTCAAGTTAAACGTTTACAAGAATGTCTCTCCTGCTGAAATTTTAAAGGCAGCCATTGCTGCGTGCTTAGTCCTTCTTGGCCTGCTCCATCTTCTCATGGAACTTCTTCCAATAGTACTTAACCAAATCGTTTTGCACAACGTTCTGGTCAATGAAGCGTATGGCCCAATTGCCGGTCAAATAGGTTACATCGTAGACAAAGGCGACCACACGAAAGAAATATTTCTCAACCTGCTCCTTGCTGGGCAAATTTGCAAGCACATCATTCTCTTGCTTCGGAGTCTCCGTCGAGGTAGTAGAGGTTGTTGGTTGTTGATAAACCGGTGGCGATGGTGTTGCTCCTGCCTTAGATGCACGCGTCTCCTGAGCCACTGCAGTAGCAGTTGTCTGCATCGTTGGCGGCACTGAAGGTGTCGGCGTATTAACTGGCTTAGAAGCTCCCGCAGGCACAACCGTTGTCTTAGCACCTTCCTTGCTACTCTTGCAGCGATCATCATTCTTGCCTAAAGAGGCAAATGGCGCTTGCACGGGATTGGTAGAGACACTTCCAACCAAGTTGGCGGTGCCTATAGCAACGGGCGGCTGAATGGCAGCGTTCGGTTCACGAACATCGGCAGCTCCCCCACCTATAGGGGCTGCAGTGCCACTAATAATGCCACCCAAATTGGATGGGGCAAAGCCAGTAGCTGGCGGCGGCTTGGTGTTGTCATCACCGGTGGCAAAACCGCGTGCCGGCAACAAACTTTGAGGCTTCGCCTCCAGAATTGTTAAAATGTTATAAGCTGTTTGTGAATATCGGTTGGATATGATATGATTATATATCGACCTGAAGACTCAAAAAAATAATATATACTTACGGAAATTCTTGCCATGATGGCTGCTGATGTTGGAAATCACGTTGAAACGTGTTTGAGGTAGCGCCTTGTTAAGCTTTCCGCGTTGGGACATAAAAATTGTTGCACGCAGCATGATCGCGATTTGATGTTCAGTTTTTCTACAAGTTTATAATAATATATAATGATATATATTATTTATAATTTACAAGAAAAAAGCAACGACAACTAGAAACAATTTCCAAAAAAATCAAACTTGCACGTCTGACGTTTTCACACAAAGAGAAAGAACAAGAAAAAGAAGCGGTTGACTCAAATTCAACACAGTGGTGAAATTGAGAAATGAAGTGCGATTTGAAGGATAGCAAGTAACAGTGACAGTGAAGACAAATTAAAAGACGCCTGTTCCGATTGTATTAAATTGTTTTTATTTTGCTTATGCTATTACTAAATTATTAGTAAGTGTTCTAGTTACATTAAAAGGGCTTAAAAGCATGTCGCAGCTAACACTCTCACTAAATTGAGTGCGCAGCTTACCTCTTGGCAAAGTTAGCAGGGCATCTGTTTTGCAGTGCTGCCAATGTTAATGAAATCAAGAATTGCATTGCGTAAAAGTAGATGAAAGAGAATCGCGAATGAGTACAGTGAACACACGATTGTATGCGTTACTTTTGGGCAATGCAATTTGGCCGAATGGACTAAATTTGTTCAACAACTTAATTAGACTACATACAAATATCCTCAAAGATAAGTACCCAAATTTGTAGAGCAAACAAGTTTAGGTAACTATCTTTTAAAAGCTCTGCTCACTAGTAGTTACATATGTATGCATGTTTTTTGTGTGTTAAATTTGTAAAATTACAGTTTCATTAAATTAGTTATTTTGTAAAGTAAAGTAAGCTGTTATTTGTTCATTCACTGCTGAAACCCCCCTTGACTACTGGCAACGAAAATCGGTATTTGTAAGCAAGTAAAGCGTTAAAACTGTATCACTACATATGTATAGGTATATTGTGTGTGTTATGTACGTATGTATATATAGCGCGTATATGTGATATATTTAATTGTTTATTATAGCGGTATGTGTACGTTTTCTATGCAAATGCAAATCATGGAAATGTTTTATGTTCTCCTTTAATACTACGCCATTTTAAATTAACGCCCCCGATCCCTCAGATCAGAAAAGACCAATTTGCTTTAAATTATTCTTGATAATGACATCGGTGACCGCATCGAAAACAAACTTCACATTATTCGTATCTGTTGCGCAGGTCAAGTGCGTGTAGATTTCCTTTTGGTCTTTTCGTTTGTTGAGATTTTCGAATTTCATGCGGATGTAGTTGGCGGCTTCCTCAAAGGTATTCGAACCTGTTAAAGGTAAATATTGCACTATTATAATTAAATTCTACTGAAAAAAAATAGTTTTGGAATTACCTGTGTATTCGGGAAAGCATATCGTCAATGGAGATCGCTTGATTTTCTCCTCGAACAAATCTTTTTTGTTCAGAAAGAGTATTATAGAGGTTTCCACAAACCATTTGGAATTGCAAATGGAGTCAAACAGTTTTAGTGATTCAATCATCCGATTCATTTCTTCGTCTTCGGCAAGAACCAAATCGTAGCCTATAATTCGACATTCAAAATTAAGTATGGAGGCACACAAATATGGGCCTGATTCAGCTTACCTGACAGTGCTACGCAAAAGATAATGGCAGTCACACCCTCAAAGCAATGTATCCATTTCTTACGCTCCGAACGTTGGCCACCCACATCGAAAAGTCTGCAGAAGAAGGAGTTAAAGATCAGCTCTAAACATACACGCTAAAAAGTGCATACAAATTCATTCCAATTTACAAAAAGGCTTTCGAATAATTTGAAGTAGGAAAAAATATATATTTTGGTATCAAATTGTAAATGGATATTCGACAAATTATTCAACTTCTTAAGAGGTCTGATGGACTTACTTAAAGTGGAGCTGCTTGCAGGTGAAATGTGTTTCAATGATGCCCGTGGTCTTGACGCGCGTGCGTAGGACATCCTGCTGCGTGGGTATATAGTTCGGCTGCGCAATACGATCCAACGAATTTAGATAATAGCCGGCTGAGTCGTTCAACTGATATTCCCGAGAGCGCGCAAACGATTGCTGGACACCGCCATCGGACCACAGTTTCTTCATCAGCAGCACGATCTCCGGCAGGAGAATACCCTCGTCAGCGGCTGAAGCATGTGTGAAGAACTGACGTGCGATTTCCGTCTTACTGGGGTCGGTAAATTCGATTTTTAACCTTCCCATCGCACGTATTATGACCATAAGGCTCTGTATTGTATTGCTGTAGACAACGCGTTTATACTCCTCGCATTCCTCCTGAGAGTAGCCAGTCTCGTGAATGATTTTCATCTGCTTTACTATTGTCGATTTGCCAGATTCGCCGGCGCCTGCGAAGGGAAATAAGCAAAAATCAAACATTTATTATGCGCATACACAAACAAACAAACAAACAAATTTAAGGCGTGGAGTAAAGTCGGGCTCATGCAAATTAAGTCTCACACGAGCTCGCATGCATCGTCAACGGGCGTTACCAGGGGGCTAACAATTGAGTACGAAATTGGAGGTACGGCGGACGGGAGACAGCGTGCGTAAAACAGAGACCGAATGAAATGAATGAATGAATCAATGTATGAGTAGTGAGCTCTACAGTTCCGCCCGCAAGTCCCGCCCTGGAGCATCATCTCGCATTGTTTTTATGAATGAATGCCACAAATTGTTCAATTGGCTGCGAGTTCAAGAGGCCAAATTTGTTAGCAATGGGCGTTCTCTACTCGCTTGTGCTGGTCATGTACGTATTTAGTGGGGACAAACAAAGCTTGCTGCTCATTACATCAACTTGACACCAAGTGACACCTATTTGCAATTCATACATAAATATGCAACCATCAACACAAATACAATTACAAGTTAAGAAAGCTTGCATTAATGACTATCGAACGGAGCAATGAACTGTGCATATAAGCCAACCGATCCCCAAGAATTTGCTTCAGATGCAAACGCAAAGAACGTGTGCTGCTTGCCTTACGTTTTCGGTTTTCCAACAGACACAAACTGCCGCTAAGCCGCGTTCTATTGAGATTTGACACGTTTCAGGCGCTGATACGCTAGCCTACGTTACGTGTCTTTTAGCTTCCCCAATATACTAAATATCTATTCAAAGTGATGTTGGGCAATGTTCTCAACCAAACTGATAATCGAGGGTGGTTTGTACAGCATTTGATTTAAAAAATTATTATGTTTTTTCAAGCATCCGAGCCCCTTTATTAATCAATACATATGTAGAAATTCATATCCAAATCCATTGTACAATTTACTATTCTTACAAATATTAATTAGAGTACTCTATTTTGATTATACAATTTATAGCCCTTAAACCTATCATTCTGTACTGGGATTGACAAGAACAGAATTGTGATTTTCTAAGATTATTTTACATCTTCAAAAATATTTGGGAAACAGTGCTTTAGCTACCAACTTTGAATGTATATGAATTTTCATACCAAAATGCTGTGTTGGCAGCAACAAAAGCAGCAATTGTGGTTGCAACAATGGCACATTAAGTGAGTTTTTGTTTTCTACGATTTCAAATGAAGTTTTCGTAGTGTTTCCCCGTCTCTTCGGTTGGGTCTATTCCCAGCTGTTTAGAGGCGCAACTGAAGTTAGATAATTGCCAGACTTGGGCGGTACTTTCACTTTTCCATGTGCAAACATTTTAATGTGCCGCCGAAAACCGCAACTACAGTAGTAAATGCATATACGTTTTATATCACATATTCGTATACCTTTTATTTTTGATTTAAGTCAAGTCCGCACAATGCGCACTAATTTTGCAATAAAAATATTGTGTCGTTGTATTGGATCAGCCGCTCCGGCAATAAGCAATGGCCAAGTTTTAAGCCATCGTAATGATCGCCAACGGTTGTCATAATCAGCGGTGCCAGGGGGCAAAACAATACACGAGAAAAAAGCGACCCCAGTCAAAGCGACAGGTTTGTCCAACATGGTAATCGACGCTGTCTGCCAATCTGAATATGAATTGAGCAAAAATGTGTTTTGCCACTGTATATAAAATAATAAAGAAAATACAAAAACTCTGAATATAATACACACAAACATTCATACGAATAAAAAAAAAGTTGCGAGTTCAGCAACAACAGCGGAAAAAGGTCAATTTAATAATAATAACAAAATGTGTGTATGTGTGGACATTTATCAATGCCCCGTTAGTTGTGCCATAATACTAAAGTAAACTCTGCCAACAGCATCTTCCCAGATCTGGGTGCGTGCGAGCGGGATGGCTATTAGTGGGGCCATAAAGAACGGAGCACCGTGAGCGCTCAAAACAAACGGCGGTGAGTACAAAGAGTGTCTGAGCATTAACAGCACCAACAGCAACAACAGTAACGTCATAAGCGGTAACATAATTAACATTATTAACAGATACACACATACATACACATGACAACGAGCACAGCAGCCCAGTTATCCAGATATACGGGGTCGTCCCCTTGGACCCCATAGCTTCCCTTATCGATGCCAAGTACCCATGCACTTTCATATGCAGATAAAGTGAGTATGTACATATGTATGTGTGTAGGCTTGTTTGTATGTATGTACTTTTATTAATAATGCTGCTTATTGCAACAATCACAATAGGACGCATGTACAAGTATGACTAAAGCCGATGGAAAACAAAAACTGTAGAATCATTCGAAAGTGCTTGGCGCATGAGTAATCGTGTTTACTGGCGCCCCCAGAGAGACAGCTGGCTGTTATTTTATGGATAAATAAACTGCTCGGAGATGTGTTAATCACCTGTGTTTGTGTTGCTGGGCTTGGGTGAGCGTGTAAGTGCTATAGCACCTTTTTATTTATGGGTAATTTACCAAATTTTAAACAATTATCTGAGATAAGTACGCAGCTATGTCATATTATTTGAAATTTCCGGTTTTTTTTAAGATGGTCGATAGCAAAGAACCAGGTTGATGGGGCAAGATTTTTTGCCTCTTTAAAGAAATTAAATTTTTGGGTCAATCGAGTTAAAATTCTCATCTTTTGTGCGTCATAAATGTGCCGCAAGAATTTCCCTTCAATTCATCAGTTTTCGGCCTTATCTTATCTATGAAAAAAGGGCAAGCCAAAACGCTGTTGCCTTGCAGTTATCAATATTGTCAATTATTTAGTATAAATTGCTGCATAAAGCTGACGCAAAGGTCGTTTAGTGATAATTTTGATAAGCAATTCAATGAGTTTAAAGGCGACGACAGCTACATACGCTGGAAGTGGAGCCTCAAAACCGCACATACTTAAAAATGAAAAAGTTTGATTAAGTTGCTGACAATCGGGAATGTGTTTGTCCGAGACATCGGATTGGTGTCGTTTTTTTGTTGCTGACGCTTAAGTGCAGCAAGAAATCGGGGTAAAATGGCGTAAAAATCATGTATTTCGCTGTCGCTGTGTTTGATTATTAATTCGATGTATTTACATACATATGTATACTATAAGAATCTGTCTGTATGTCGGCGCTTGGAAATTTTGATTACCCATGTGAAGGAGCTCTGCATTTCAGAACGTTGTTAGGCAATAAGCCATTCAGTTGTATATTTTGTGAGCTACTGGCTCTTCTCTTAAGAAATAAAGTTAAGTTAAAAAAGTTTAGAAATTCCGTATCTAGAATACTATATAGAATCTGCTTTAGGAGGGCCCCTGTATTTAGCTTTTGGTTTTATTATTATTAAATTACATTTTAATATGTGTTGAAATGAAAATAAAATTGGAATTTAGTCCCATGTTTAATAAAACCAAGCATGATCATTTAAGAAAAAAATTGTAAGAATTATTAGCGACCTGCTATTAGTAGAGAAAGTGGTTTCGTACTTGGCGAGTTGCTGGGAAGCTTCAAAATGCTGAGTTGTCGGGCTAACATGCCCAACCGCCACAGCCGTATATAAATTCACATGTGGATGCTCGTACAGTGTATCCATGTGCTATATAGAGTATGTATGTATGTACGTTGTTGCTGTGTGAAATGCGAGCGCAGCCTAAAGCAAATCATATTAATAATGTCATTCTTTACACAGACATCCACTCAGCGTTGCAAACATGAAATATTTTGAATTGTATACAATTTTTCAAAATGAAAAAAAAAACGAGATTACAAATTTATGTATTTACATTGTTAGTTACATACATACATATAAAATCTGTATGCATGTACTGTAAAAACTTAAAAGCTGTGTGTACAATCATACATAAGTATGTACATAAATTCAATTGAATGGCGTGTCAAAGGGAGAGAGTGAAAATTGTTTATTTTGCGCTGCAGCGGTTGACAAGGGGGCCAAATTAAGTGACAGGCCGAGTGCTGTAATTTAAATGGAGCTCAGCGAGCAACGGCCGATAGCTGACCAAAGCTGACGCTTTGAAATGGAACCCGACGATACCAGACACCCCTTGGGACAACAATAGCAAAATTTTATTAAATCTACACATAAACGTGCAAGTGTGTGTATATACAAGTGTACATGACAACAATAACGGCTATGGAAGCAACTACAATTGTTGCAACAAGCTGCAGTGGTTAGTTCTCCAGCACAGCTGCACTTGTGGGGGCCTTTTATTTGCACTAATATCATTCACCCCACTTTAAATGTCAGTGTACAAACAGTAATACCAACAACAACACGACACAGCTACGGTTGCCCATCTGTGAGAGTGTGGTGTTTGTGCGTGTGTGAGTTGACCAATTAGGCTCGGCTATTTGAGCGAGCGGGGGAGTGAAAGAGACAGTGCTCCGATGTGCTTTGAATAATGAACGTGCGCAAGCGCAACAACAATAATAATAACAGCAACAGAAATAATAACATAGGCCAACAAAGATAAAATAAAACAAACTGAAAATATAACAATGTACGCAGACAGTCGAGCAATGCAAGGTGTTTTTATTTGCCTCGAACAACACTGGCCAGCGTACTTTTAGTGTTACTTGTTTTAATTTCGTTGCAGGCGCACCAGCACCGCCAGCTGTAAAAACAATCGTTTGACATTCCATATGAATTAGCAATGCATTTTTCGATAAGAGTCATTCGGCAGCGTTCTAAAGAAGCAGGTCATCCAAAATGTGCAGTTTATTCACATAAAAAATTAGACAAGCTTCGTAACAAAAAATCTAAAGAAATTGGACTGTTCAGACAATTTGTATGAAATTGTTGGAAGGTAAAAATGAAGCCATAAAATCAAAATTGTTGTGATATTACGACATGTACAAAATGCCGGAGTAGAGATGAAACTCCACAATATTTTAATTCTTTTTTATATTTAATTAGTAGCACATATTTTTACATATTTCATGAACTACAAATATTTGTATTGCAAAATTTAATGAGCAAGAACCACAACCTAAAAACTATAATATTTGTACCATCTAATGAAAAGTAATGTTGTTTTTTAACGGTAACCATATGTAGGGTCCTATAAGTTGACCTAATCGCTAATGAGCAACGTCTTTACGATAATGTATACGATGCATCAATATACATATGTACATGCATATGTGTTTTCAGTTGGTTGCAAAGTGTTTTTGCATTATATATTTTCAAGCAAGTGATTTCACTGTGGGCCGCACAGTCCCCAGTGCGGCACTCGAACTCGGGCACATATTTGAGTCATCATCACGTCGGCGCGGAGCGCTTCATTAGCAAAGCAGCAAGAGGCAAAGTTTTGACATTGTTGTTACTTGAAAACAGAAAAAACCGTTGCATTGTTTTCCAAATTGAATGGCAATGAAAATGAAAAGTGCGCTCTCGTACTCAGTGTATGTTTGTTCAAATCACAATACATATACATACATGTATATAAAATATATACATATAGTAAATACATACATACATACATACATACATATGTATAAAGATATGCCAAAGACAGTTGCAATGCAGCGATAGTAGAAATTAAATTGCAGAAGGTTAAGCCACATAGTGGTGTACAATTTCACAAAAACAAAAGGCGTAAAGTCAAAGTTGATAGGCAGATGGCAATGGCGCCCGCAATGCTTGACTGCATTTTCCAGTGGAAAAGTCTAGTGAAGCAGCCCAAGAGCAACAACAAGTGCCACTCATTCACGCACATATCAAAGGAAAAACATGTTTCGATTGCCAATGCTGTGGCGTCCCACTTGTGGGAGCCCACAAATTGACGCGACGCGTTGTCGGCATTTGGTTTCAATTTACGTTGAATTTCTTATCGCATACGAATTACGGGCACTGAATCGGTTGCATAATGCCTCCTCATACAAAAAGTGCACGCATACATACATATGTAAATTTATGTGTATGTATGTACTTATACATATATAAACATAAGTTCATTGCCTGTGTAAATGCATTTAAGCAATTGCATTCCTTTTTTTACATCCTTCCAAAAAACGTACGCGCAACTCACCACAGCCGAATTTTAAGCCAAAAAATAACGTTGAAAAAACCCACCCCAAAATGTGGCTAATAACACCAGCAACAAGCGACGCCTTTCACATGACTTACTGATTGGTTCTAAGTTACGCACATATTAGATAATATTGTGTAAAGGCTATATAAATTATGCACATAGAAATCTACTTAAATAGAATTTTAAAATATCATTGAGTAAGCGACGCACCCAAAAGCAGCAATTTCACCTCCGAGGCGGCACGTTCGCCCTCTGCCCGTAACGCTCTATCGATGTTCTTCGAACGTTCCGTGGCTTCTTTATCTCGCGCTGTACTCACGGCACAACCCATTTTGTTATTGTTTTATGTGTTTTAGTTGACTGTTGGACAATATCTTGTAATTTTTATTAATTTCTGTTGGATATTTGTGCACTGCTATTTTTGGGATTTTTAATTAGACGCAGGCCGTCGCGTCTGCGCGTCTCTTACAACCACCACACGGCTGTACACTTTTTTGTATGCCACTTCTCTTCCTTTCACACACACAAACACAAACGCGTAGCGACGCAGACGCAGCAACAGCGGCCGTTGTGCACTTTCCAAAAAAACAATTTCGGCTTATTATGCGTTATTAAATTTCAACGCTTATAATAATTTTTTAGTTTCGCGGCAATGCCGATTAATTTCTATTCGTTAAGATTTCTTTTTACACGCGGCTGCGTCTCTGCGTTAGCGTATGATTCACTTTTTAGCTGCTTTTGCACTAAAATGAAGTGCTCTGCGAAAAGAGAGCAATGAATGATCGAGCTGTAGTAGTGTTGAACAATGTTGAACAATGTTGAACAATGTCGGATTTAAGTGGATGTAAGTGCTGGGAAATTTTGACGTCAGAATAGGTAGTTCCAATATGGCAGCGTATGCGCAATGCGCTGTCTGTTATAATGCTAGAGGGCGCTTTTGTATGCGCCACCTACCAGATTTCAAAGATTGTTTCCTGGAATTATATTTGAATATTTAATTTGAATTAAAAGTGCAAACAAACAATAAATTGTTTTCCCTTATAATTCTTTATTGAATGTATTTAATGTTATACGCTTAGAACAAATAAAATGCGCAAATTTAAATGATATGTGTGCAGTTTTACTGCTATTTGTGTTAGTAATTTAAATACAAAGTATTTATTTATAAACTTCAAACGCACTATAAATAATGAGATAATAATTTCAATAAGTTTATGTTTGAAGCTTACTAACGTCTCTGACTACATTTGGCTGTAAATCGGGGAATAGGGAAATGGAAAATAAAATTCACCTAACAAGTGGATGGTGTTATTAGGTATTATTGTAATTTGTTTTTATTTGTGATATTTCATCTCATCATAGTGTTTGTACTTTATCTATGTCGAAAGTTTCTAAAACTCTGTTTTAAAAAAGGCGTTTCTTAATGAGGAATTGATAGAAATTTAATATATATACGAGCTTGGTTCCAGAAGTGCTTAATCTGAAGTATACCTGGTAGTTTTTTACAATTATTTATTATTAAAATATTATAATCGAAGTTTTTGAGCATCGCTTGGAAAAGTACATACTTGTACATACATGAGATAAAATGCGAAAATGTGTTTCTATATTCAGTTAAAAATTTGAGTAAGTATTAATGCGGATGTCTTTTGATCTTCTGTACGGCCTATTTGTAACAATGCCATCAAAATCCCACTTCCTGCAGCATACAAAAAATTAATAATTCTCCTTCCTGCGTACCACATTTGAACTTCAATCGTTTCAACAAATTCGGTGCATATATTTTACTGTACATGTATGAACTATGTATGCATGTATTTGTATCATTGTTTCAATACCAACTAGCCCTTTGCGAATGTTTATTGAAATAACGCTTTAAGTATAAACAAACACGAAAAAAATTCGATGCTCGGAAGTGCACGACGGGTCGCCTTTTGGTTGCCCTTGCAATATGCGCACAAACCAGAAGAAAAAAGAAATCAGAATAGTTCTCAGAGCTCCCAGGCATGAAAAAATATTTGTTTTGGTTTTAGGACAAAACGATTAAGCGCTCTCTGATTGCCGGCAACGTTGGAGGCCCGGCCAAATGGTTACAGTGTGGTTTCGTTTTCATTTCAAATCACAAAATGCAGTTATGAAGAAGATAAAGAGAGCGAGAGAGAAAGTGATGGAGAGAGAGAGAGAGAGCGAGAGAGAGTTGGGAGGGAATGCAGCTTTCCTCAACTAATACATCTAAACAAAAGCGCTGCAAAACTTCAGCAGAGAGGAGACAGCCGACGAAGTGACATGTGTTGTTGTTGCTGCTGCTGCTGCAGTTGTAGTAGTAGTTGTTGTTGTTGCATTGTCTACGTGTTCGTGGGGCCATCAACGGGTCATGATTTACACATGTTTACACGAAAAAAAAAGCAGCCAAGGCGACGGAACGGGCTGGGATGGGATGGGGGTGCAGGTCCATGCATGAATGAATGATTGCCGCATTGGGCTGCTGTTGTAATTTATCGTAAAAGCAAACGGCAGCAGTAGCAACAACAACAAGGCAGGCGACTATAGCTAGAGAATTATGGATTTATGCGGTTAGTGAGGGATGCGGCCAAGAGCTGAAGAGCTGAGGAGCAGGGCTGGAATACATCGAGTTGGGTGGTCTTTTGGGTGCTGCTGCTGCAAAGCGCATGCCTTGGCTGTCGTCAACGTTGTCATGGCTGTTGCTGCTGCTGCTGTTGTTATTGTTGTTGTTAGTGTTGGTGTTGGTGCCGGCAGTTGAATTCAAACCGTTTGCTGATGCCAACAAAATTGACGAACGTCGGCCAAACTTCAATCGCTTGCCTCACAAAACAAAAAACAACAAAAGCAAATAACAACAACAACATCAGCAGCAGCAGCAACGCTAGCACAAGCTAGCAACAACAACAATAACAGCAGAGCAGCAGCAGCAGTGGCAAGAACAACAATTAAAGGAAGGCAAAGGCCTTGAAATAGAGCTCCTACGCACACACTTTGGCACATGTGTTGCCTGCTGTTAAAGGTTGTTGTTGTTGTTGTAGTTACTTTTACTGTTGATGTCGTTGTTGTTGTTCTTGCTGCTACTGCTGGGCAAACTCAAGATTAATTTGGTCGATAATTCGGAAAATAGGAAAGAGAAATCATTTCAAAAACTTGCGCGCCTGCCTCACTTTTTACCAAAAACAAAAAAAAAAGAAAAGAAGAGAAAACAAAGAACATGCGTCAAGTTCTTTTCGTTATGCGTTGAAAGGTCGGGCAGACACACGGCGACGGGCTATATTCATCGCTATAGTCTATAGGTATCTTCCCCGATTCCGACAGTCAAGTGAAGCTGCAGTTGCATTTGCAGATGCAACAGACGCTATTAATGATGGATTCCCATTCAGTCCATCGATCGTCGGCTGCTTGAGCGGCGAACGTTCGATTGATTTTCGGCACTTTTCAAAAGCGTCAAGGAAGCGTCATCGCAACGACGTGTACGAAAATACAGAACGGCGTCTAATTTTCAATCATTCTTTAAACGAAGATAAGGAGTTGCAGGCATTAACGAAATATTCAAACATAGTTCTGCTGATGAGCTCAAGTTTTCCTAACCATCCATAGAAATAAGCAAAGATCGAAGTTAAGAAAAGACAAGAGCACCTTTCAAAACACATTATATCTGTACTGATATGTATTCAAAATACCGAAAATACCGAATTACCAAGCATAAAAAATGAAAAAAAAAAAAAACAGAATTAAAAACAAATATGACTTATTTGTATAGCCATAGTAATTAATATTAAAATAAAATTCAGTAATTTTCATTTCGCGAAGAATGTTCGTTTTTTTTTTTTTGCTCCTTGACAAGTTTTATGTAATTTATAAGTTTTTATTAAATACGAATTCTTATGATGAATCCCATCCCATCCCCATCCTTGCACGCAAACTCCTTTTGATTGACAAGTTTTATGTAATTTATTTATTTTTTTTAAATACGAATTTTTATTATGAATTCCATCGCATTTAACATTTTTTAAAGCATTTTCTGAGAAAAAGTTTAAAGAATTTTGAAGCTAGCTTCAAGACTTACGGGCGATTTTATGGTCTTTAAAATTTTATAAAATGTATGTTTTATTTGTGATATTTTAACCATTGCATTTTGTATGTAAGAATCTGAAATACAATGAAAATAAACAAAATGTCCGAACTTTTAGGTAACAACAAAAAGTTTTGATGTCCGGATTACAGACAGTCCACATTGAAAATCAAATGGATCTCCGAATTATCGCGTCGTCTGAAATATCAAGTGTACAAACAATCGATATTAAATTGTACGTATTTCCAATTACCAATTTTCAAATTCAATTTTTCAATATTAGCTCACTTTATTTGCTGGAAAGTATTTCAATCAGAAAATGCCTTAATGATTAAAATTTGTATGCGAATTGAAGTCACGTTCTTTTAAACATTATTATATTTTCTTCATTTACATAAAGACAATAAGTGTATTTTTAAAAACATATTTTAAAAAAAAAGAAGAAAACTTTTTAATACCGATTTAAATGCCTTAACCCATTAGTCTGGCCCTGCTATTTGTTGCCTACAAAAGCAAATCGGGGCAAAGGAAAATATATCGTAAAATAAAGGAAAAAATACATCGTTTGACTAAAATTAGCCGTGAACATTGTTTACATTGAAAAAGTAATAATTACCCAAAAAAGCAGAGCAAGTAGAGAATGTGAAATGTATGAATCGATGTGCGATGTGCGAGGACACGGACACATAAATAACATGCGATCGCATGCCTCGCACAGATCAATTGACTTTTAGGTGAGGAGCAGCAGTCCAAGGCCCAAAACAGACCCACAAGAATATATGTATTTCTCGCCATACATACATATATACTTGTATGTACATATGTCTGTATGAAAATTGGAACTACTGATAGGCGTCGCACAGCAGCCGACAAGTGCGCCCGTGCCCTGCCAGCCTGTCTTTGCGTTGTTTACATTAAAAAGTGGCGTTGGAAACAAAACTCGCATACAGGGGCAACAGTTTTTAGAGCGACACCGACAACCATACGCTTCCAACCTGTCCAGCAGCAGGAAACTGAAATCAGAGCCAGACTGTACTCGTACCATCCAATTGATTTGCCATAAAACCGTGCACTCGAGTGGGCGAACCATAAACAGTACTCGAGGCACATACTTGGCTGCCTATTTATTTCATTTTATAAATTCCAATTTTCCGATACCACTAATAAATTGTCGTGACTAATGCCAGGCCAACAAATTTGCGCAAACATTCATATCGAGAAAAACACGTGTGCTGTGGCAGAAAATTTAGTAGTTGTATGGAAATTTCCTCTATTTTTGATTGAAATGAAAAAAACTCCATGACATAATTGTTAAATTGGACAAGCCTAAGGCAAAATGTTTACCTATGCTATGCTTATCCATAGCTTAACAGTGGTATATAAAGTATGCCTTTTTCTGCAAATCTAAGTATCTTTTTTTATAGAAAAATCTGCAATTGTTGAATCAATTGCAAAAATATGGCTGCACCATAGGATTTTCCTGACAAATTTATTTGAATATCTGCCTCAAGTAAAAAAATCGGATCTTTAGGGTTTACCTTCTGTAGTGACTCGACTTTCGCTTTCAATTCAATTAAAGATATATAAAGCAGACATTTTAATAAAATAAATTAGGAGGAAATCACGCCAAAATGTTATCTCTGTTTGCGTTAAAGGCTTACAACAAAACATTATTCCACCATTTTGCACGTTTCCGAACTATCTAATCTTTTATAAGGAAGCATTTATCATCTTGGACTATTTATTTATCGACAAACAGAGCTGTCGATGTGAAAAAATCAAAACAATACAGAATTTATACTAGATAAATCTAAAGAAAAACAAATCCTATAGAAATAACAAAAATGTCTAATAACGAATCCAACTCGGTGGGGGAATTTTATTTGCCAAACGGCCAGCTATGCCCCGATTCACAGCAGAGAATAGTTAGAGACGTCGTTAGACCTAACAAAAAAACAACAACAACACATTCATTACTATGGCTTACTATTTCGCCCTAAAATGGAACTGACTTGGATTTGTTAAAATTTTTCTGTTAATCATATGCATAAGTTATTATTCTAACGCATCGTGCATGATTAAATCAAACTTTAAATTTTTAATAATAATACTTTTCAGTTGATGGTGCAAACGAAAACTCTAAGAACCGACCTTTAAACTATGGAATAGATTTCTTATAAATCTTGGCTAACTGATGAATCTTGATCCAATATCAGGGACTTTTCATTAAAGCATTGCTCATCATTTTCATTACATTTGGAAATACAAACCCTGTTGGGAAATTCCCCAAAATATAGCATGTTGGTACTTAATTGTAAATGAAGACAGTAATTACTGTAGTCTAGTGTAGTTCTGCAATTGTGTTTCCTGCCTGTGGCAGCCACTCGTAAATGGGCTGAGTGTGTGTGAACTTTTAAGCACCTGCCATTGACAGAATGCAGTTTGCTCGTTTATCTTATTATACTTTATATATATTTTCCAGAATTTTGTGTATTGTTGTATGTAGAAATTGTATGTATTGCATGTCTGCGCGATCGGCCGGCCATATGCAACAACAAAGGCGTCAGCCTGTCCATATAAAATATCGATGGAACGGCGAGAGATTGCGGCAAATGGTGGGTTGCGTCGCCGAGTTAGGATTTTTATCACCTTGTGTTGTTCAGAATTTGTTTTACAAGCGAACGGCCCTCGTCAGCTATTTTATGTGCCGATTTTAGTTGTTGCTTTATGTCTTTATAATGTCTGCGCGTTTTTTTTTATGGGCTGTCGGGGTTTTTGTGCTGACTCAGCTATGAGTAATGGTTCGGGATCCCTTCATCGTCTGCTCTTCCTATTATTTGGATTGGGTGTTGGAGGCTTTTGAGGACGCTGTTGAGGACGCTTGTGTCGTCTGTAGGACTCCATTGGAATCGGCTGCTCTGTTTGGGGGCCACTGGCAGCATCTCCTTTACGTTCCTTTCGAGCGCTGATCTGTATACGTGGACCTAAAAGCTTGCAGGACTCGATCCTTAGACGCTCCCTACTAAACGAATGCTTAACAGGGTTCATCGTGATCCGTAGCCTACGGCCACCTTTGCGCATATTTGCCAACTCTTTCCCATGAGAGTCGATTGGATAGGGCTGTTCGGTTGGATCGTCCTTAACATCGGAAGCTCTGGACTGATTGGTGGTTCTTGAGAAGCATCCACATTTCGCAATTAGATCAGTTATGCACGTAACTATCTTACTGACCTCAATACTTTGCTTCTCGTGTTTCAATCTGAACGGCTGGACAAAGAATTGGCGGCATTGCCGAAGCAAACAGTTGGCTGCACTCTGGTTCATAATTATTTGTTTGGATGGCCGGACGATGGGGGATTTGGGAGACTGGAATTTTATGCTTGTATTTTGTTCTGACTGTTATTTCAATGTATGTATATGGTTCTGATGCTGAACAGAAGTTACTTCTTCTTGGGGCAGCCACCATCCTTGCCATCCTTGCCACCCTTGCCATCTTTGCCGTCCTTTCCATTCTTTTTGCCACAAGCGGGTGCAGTATTTAGTTTCTCTATGAGGGGGATAGGCAGGATATGAATTAGTGCACTAGTCATTCATATAAAAAATCATTTACTTCTTCCACACACGTCCTTTTTCCCGTCCTTTTTTCCACCTTTTTTATCGCCACATCCATCATCCTTCTTCTTGTCGCCACAGGTGTCTTTCTTTTTCCCACAACCATCGCTTTTGACGCGTCGCGAAAAAATTATAGCATCGCTTAACTTAAAAATTGCTCGAGCCGTGAAAGCATTCATGCTGTACCAAAAATCCAATTCAAGCCAAAGAGTAGAATACAAAAATTTTGACTAATGTGTAAATAGTTGTGTTTGGAATGATATCTGACATTCGAATCCCGAAATAGGTTTTGAGCTAAAACGCAAATGTTGCTCAGTTGGTGTGCGCTTCTGTTTGCCACTCAAGTGCCCGGCGACCACACATGACCCCAGCACACCAAAAGGACCAACAGGATCACAGTACTGCAGGACCGGCGCCATGTCAAAATATTTGTCAGCGCCTCGATTTATGATCGTCAATAATTAGGCGACCTCGGAGACGCCGCTATTGCCTAGTCCGTCCACACATTAACCCCAAACCGATGTCAAGTACTTGAGTTTTGGGTTTCGCTTACAATGCGCTACAAATCCGGGAAACAGTGTCCGCTTGAATGTAACTCGATGCCCATGTAAATTGTCAAGTGCAGCCGCAAACATTTTGTATTTCGTCTCGTGCTAATGATCAGAGCAGTAGCTGTTGTGGCAGAGCGACTTGTGGGACTCTGAAGGGGTTAACAACAGTGGAAACTTTATTAAATGAATCCATTAGCCCAATCGATTGATGCTGATAGAAAAATTAATTCAAACTTTCAAGGAGTTGTCAAATTTCAATAAGGAATATTTTGAATATATGTATGTATTTAAATCAAGCGGAATCGTGAATCTTAAAACAATTTATAACATTATATAACAAATAGCAAGAGCCGAAATATCTTTTTATAGAACTGTTTAATAAAGTAGTTGTAGAATTTTTATATCGTATTAACTTTAAGGGAGGGGCTATGAAATCTGTTTGTGCATCTGTGGTCTCATGCTTTAAGGAGACATTTATCTTTGTCTGAGAATAATAAAGCTTAATAAAGTAGCTATAGTAGATTATATAACTTTAAGAGAGAGGCTTTTAAATCTGTGTGTCCATCTGTGCTCTCATGCTTAAATATTCGAGGCATTTATCTTTTTCTAAGATTAATGAAGTTTAATAAAATAGTTATAGAATTTTTATATTGTATTAACTTTAAGAGTGAGGCTTTTAAATCTGTTTGTCTATCTGTGCTTTAATATTCGAGACATTTATGGGCTTTAATTTCCAATTGGTTTCTCAAACTTCAAATTGAAATTGTGCGTAAGCTGCTGATGAATAAAGACCTTAACTTATCAAGTTATAATTCCGAAAGCATCACTATATACGTAATTATTGTAGAGATGGACTAACATGTTCTGCTCGAAAAACTAGAGTGACTCAAAAGAATTTTTCAATCGCTTTACAAATATAACAACGGTTGGATTTGTAGGAGCAGCCTCAAATTACAAGCAATTAAAAAATACTGTACCCGAAAAGCTGTGCAGAGTAAATTTTTATAAATAAGGTATTAAATGCAAATCGATATTTATTTAGATGTTCAAAAATCTATCCATTTCTGCTATAAACCAGTAATGAATTATGATAACTTAGCTAAGCAAAAATTGTACATTAACGAGTCAATCTTAATATTTAAATTGTAAATCATCATTTAGCTAGTGTGATGGCTTGGACGCTGGTTTCAGTTATATGTATGTAGTCAGAAATAGGACATCTGATGAAGATGTCTGTCCGTCCACATATCGTTTAGCAGAACTAATAAAATATACGTGAACAAAGGCGAAGACTTCTCAGAGTTCTTGAACTCCTCACTGACCTCTTAATCATCGCCTAATTGACAGTCGGGAGTCCCCGCAAATGTTAATTAACTTTAAAGCCCACATTTTCCGTACAGGTGCACACACGCTTATGGGGAAAATCGAACCTGAAGGCCAAAAATCGCTTGGCCATTAAATAATGGAATTTTAAAAAAGAGCTCGGCATGAACAAAGGCAAGAACAAAGCAAATGAAAAGAAGAAAGCTACGACACGAGGAATACGCAATGACGACAATGAGCGTCGAGTGAGAAGAAACAGATGCCAAAGAGACCATACATATGTACATATGTATGTACATATATATTCCAAGATCAGGCCATGCGGCAAGATTGCCGTGTTAAGCAGAGTTCCAACTGATAAGTCATTTATTAAGAGGGCCAGAAGACAGGAAATCCCTCCTTTCCCTCCCCACTCGCATTCCAACCTGGCTGACGCTGCCAAAATACGTTCAGAGATTAATTACTGCCGATGTTGCGAAATGGAGAAACCATGAAATCGAGGAACTGAGAATAACAAGTTTATCGCCATCGAGTACTCTGCATTACTGTATTGCGTATCCGTTTTCCGTTTACCCCCTTTGCCGAGCAGCGAGTCAACACATTTTTAAGTATCTTGGCTATTAAACGAATAAGCTGAACAACAACAACAACAAAAACAACAACAACAACAATGGCAATGGCAATAGCAATAGCATACCAAGTGGCTGGGGAAATGGCTTTTGTGTCGGCCATTCGTGGCTATTCGGAGGAGCACTTCACAGTCCAGAGTACAGAGTACGTCGCAAACAAAAGCATTTGCTTTCGGTCTTTTAAAAGTATTTACTCAGAACGGTTTTTCTCAATTTGTTCAATGCTTTCATTTCTTTTTTTCTTTTCTTTTAGTTTTTTTTTCATTTGGCGCAATTGCAAGTCCATAAATTGTTCAATTTTATTGCGCCAGCTTCGACAGTTGAATGGCGGGCCTCGAGCTCCGAGCTGTCCGACCGGTTCTGACACAGCGGCAATCAGAGGCAGGGGGTCATCTATATATGTGTGTGTGTGTGTGTGTGAGTGTGGCGCATTTGAACTTTTATTATTCCCCCATATACCTACGAGTATGTGTGTAGTTCGCATTGTTTGGCGCAACTATTTGGCAATGCCAAGACACGTCCATTATGGTGGCCGGCGGGGCACAGCCGTTTTGGCCATCTTGCGCAAGACCGCCATTTTGAAATTGCAAACTCATACGGAAAGGTGTTTATCGCCTCTTTCCTAAGGTGTGCGGGCGCGTGTGCGTGTGTTGATATTGTTGCTGGAATCGACGTCGTTTGGGACAGAGGAGGAGTAAGGCGAGTACGCAATTAGTTTTATTAATGAGCTGCATTTCCAATACAATTTACATTTGAAAGGAATATGGGAGGAGAATAATAAATAGCTGCCAAATAACTCAAGCATTAGTCATTTGCAAATATTGGTGAAAATATGCGCTTTATTGAATGTTGTGTTTGTTATATATTCCATCAAGGCATTAATATTATTTTATATTTTTAATTTAAAATAATCAAAGAAATAATGCCAAGCTAATGCTTGTGAATATTAATACTTTTCAATTGTGGCAAGTATATTAAGTTTCATTATGATAGATCAATTAGAAAGAAATTTATAGCCATAATTATATTATTGTTCTTGATGATGTTTGTTGACATAATTCTGTACTTCACACATATGTTTCCACGTATGTATGTATTGAATAATTTGTTATTAGGTAATTAATAAATTTTTGGGAGTGTGTACAGCGTATTTAAAAGTTGAACCCGCTCGACTATCGCATTCCTTTCTTGTTTAAAATAAATTTTAATTGCCTAATCTGTACATTTTAACTTTTTAATACGCTGTATCAAAGGTTTAAGAGTTCATACGAATTTAGCTCCAATGGAAGAAGACGTATATATGTATATATATTTTTGATCAATATGACAAGACGAGTCGATATAGTTCGGATAAAGTTGTCCCTCTGTATGAACGGAAGGATCTCGGGAAGTATAAGAGCTGCTGTAACCAAATTTGCTAACCAGGCTCTCCAAGGTTTTAGTGCTAAATTGCTAAAAACAATGTAAACCCATTTTTTGAATATTCAATTCGATTAAAAAACTATCAGCTTACAGTTTTTTGTTTAGCTTTAAAAGTTGCTGTCGCTTAATAAATTCTTAAAGATGGCTGTTCGTAATTTTGATTATAATTTATGTTCACTTGTGGGGTAAAAATTTTAGAAAATCAGTTTTCAATGGAAAAGCTGTTCAATTGAAAATGGGAGCACAATTTTGTGAAACAGCATCCGTTTTAGCTTCTACCAAATGGGAATGGAAATGGTTATTTAAAATTCTTTCTGTTTTGTGCGGTTCTTGTTTGTTTAATTTTAAGAAAAAAATAAAAATAAAAAACCACCTCGGTGGTTTTAATAGAAAGACTTAGTATGTCTAAGGGGGAACAAAAATGCTTTTATTTGTAATTAAAATATACAATTTTATTGAATGTTTGTAAGACTACTTAGTGCTATTCACGTAAGTTCAAACTCCAAGGCCTTTCCCCAACGAGAAAGTGCATTGGTAACATTATAGCTTTTCTGTAACAATAGAGTGGATTATTTGCACTTAATGGTAACATTAACATTTAATTGTTGTCGCTGTGTTTATTGTTTAGACATTAAGAGTTGGCCCCTTAACTGTGTTTTAAACAAAATCCTACACCTTAATAGCCCCGCATATAGTTATAAACAGAACAGCACGCTTTTCATAGAAACAATCAACACTTATTCAATTCATAAATATTTACAAAAACATAATTAAAGCCGTGGGAAAAGACAACAACGCTGCAAGGCGGACGACGAGGCAAGTTTAAAAAATATAATTTGTTTGTGTGTCTGGCTCTTTTATTTTACTGCTATATTCCCATTTTTTGTTCGGTCAGAACACGTGATCACAACTCTGGACTATGATGCATGGAGGAGGACGAGAACGAGGATGCTGCTGGCGAAATAAACAAACATATAGGCGTACAAGTATAACAAGATCTAACAAGCGACCGACCGACGGACTGACTGATTGACTGTAAATATTTAAACAAAAGCCATGGAGCCAAGAAACTATAGGAAAAAAGTTAGTCCAATCGGCATATTATTCTCTTTTTTGGGCAAACTCTATGTAAATATTTTGAATTTTGGCTATTTGATTATTTATTGTCGGCGAGCCAAGCTGTTTAATAATAATCCGACCGATCCGACCGATCCGACACTGCAATTGTTTGCTTTCACAGTTGTTGTAGGTCAGTGTGCAAAAGCACATGGAATAGACGACTCCTTTCCA